CGCCTACACGCCCGACCCCCACCAGTCTAGTCAATAACTCAACTCTCTCCCCAACACAACTTGTCTCAAGGGAAAGGTTTGGAAAACAAAAGTTGAATGAAAACACACATACACCTACCCATTAACACACAGAAACAGTACACCCTCTGTATAATTCATATCATAGGCCTAACAGTACTGTAGAGCTCTTTTTACTTGCACATAATATAGCTGGGTCACCCCGTCCTGCCCCTAGGGGTCCACGGCCCTGTAGCGCCCCAACCCAACACACCACACTCAGCTTTAGGATCTTAGTGAAACATTCATTATTGGTTTCAGGTGTGTTAGGCCAAGGCCAGAGTGACAACAGTACAGCAGACCCCCAGGGCCAGGACTAAGCAGCCCAGCAGCTAGGGATTGCCTAAATCTCTGACATGGGCATGTTTTCAGTACAGACTCCTTTTGTCATACAGTATTCCATATAAGGCATCCAGACTTTATGAAAGTAGCACAGTATATCCTTAATCTTAAAACAAATCTAGTGATACTGTACATAACTTGACATTTCTTCCATACATTGTGGGAGGATAACCAACCTTCCAATTAATGGCAATGCATTTATTAGACAATATAAATTCTAGGTTACACAGTTTCTTCTGATAACAGTCTCCAGCATCAACATTTCCAAGCAAACAAAAACAGGGAGAATGGAGAATCTGTAGACATGCTGAGATAAAATAACATACTCTTACCAGAATTCAGCCAACCTTCAGAAGATCACAACATATGCAAATATGTCCCCTTTTGTGCATTACACCTCCAGTAGAATAATACAATTTCTGAGTGCATGAAATTCAGTTTCACTGGCATATAGTACATTCTATGGATGGTTTTAAACTGCAGTAATTTATGTCTGAGATTCTATGAACATGACTGGGCATTCTAACATATACTGTATGTATCCATTCATCGTCATCAATAGCGTCTCCCAGGTCTTCCTCACATTTTTGTTTGACATGTTTTGTGTCATCGGGAAAAGCCTCTATCAACTCTTGATACAATTTGGAAATCAACTTTGGAGGTTTGTCAGACTGCCTTAAAATAGCATCTGGCTTGTCCAGTGTTTGCTGGACAGAGAGAATAAAGTGTTGTATCTGCAACAATTCACCTCACCTCTGTCACAGACTGGTCTTCCCTGGCTGTCTGACTGCTGAGACCCCTGTCACCATCTGATCCTCCTAAAATGAGGCATGACAAAGAATTACCTTGGTCTACATCTATACATTATATTATCCAAGAATAGAATCACTGGTTCAATAATTGAAATTACCATTATTCCCAGATCCTGTAGCTACTGTAGGTCTACCCATCAATTCAAGATGGAACTTTGTAGAATTCACTGAATATACTTCAAAATTCACCTGAGCACCGTGGACTGGTCTTCCCTGGCTGTCTGACCCTCTGGGACCACTGTCACCATCTGATCCTGCTAAGACATGATGAGCATAGTGTTGTGTACTGACTGCATTAGAGGGCTGCATTCCCGCAGGATGCCTGCAGGACCTGCGGGTCCCGACAGAGATCATTGCAGTGTGATCAGCATTTTTCATGCTACAGGCGGGTGATAGATTAATTATTAATGACTAATTATTACACCCTGAAACTGTGTATAATGTGTTAGAAATGTGTGAGTGTAGGACCAGTAAGCTACCATTGAGCTACTATTTAGCAATGTGAGTAAGAGTTAGACCAGACAACAATGGAGAACTGTCTAAACCAAGATAAAGGGGCCTCCCAATTTAGGGAGGATGCGATATCTGCACCTGGCCGAGCAAGGAGTGGGAAAAGATCAGAACAGTGATGGTCAGGAGAGCAGAGGAAAACATGAGCTGAGCCGAGGTGTGTGTGTGTTTACAAGATGTGTATAGTGGAAAAATACAGGCCGCCTAAGGGGGGGGGGGCAGGATTTTTAGTATGACTTATGTGTATAAAAGGATTGTACCACCATTTTGTTTCAGAATTCTCAATGAATAAATATCTCTGACTATGCAGACCGGGACTCTGGCCGTTACTTAAATCCCAAAAGACTTACAACCTTTTGGGAGACGCACAGAGACACTAAAATAGTTTGTTAAATAATTCACTTAACAGCGGGGGAGCAGGCGGTCAGACAGATGACTTTGGGATGAAAATATTTTTGTTGTCCCACAGATTATTTTGAAACAGTCCTCTTTCTGTTTTGTATGCGTTAGCCTACTAAAAACACATAATTTTCATAATTCACTGCTTCAACATCAGTAGCCTACCTCTCCTAGTTGGGCGTTAGAGTTCAAATGCACCTAGTATGTGTGTTCTCATTGAAATAGAGTAAGCTGCCTACATTGGCGAACAATCTTGTGGCAGTTAACTTGAATATGAAATTAACTTAAATACGATTAGACTGTAGTTTACTACAGTGTCTGTAAATAAATATTGATAATGAAAAGAAGTGGATTATGCAAAACGTAGCAAGTGTCACTGTCATCATTCTTGCTGCCTCCAGTTCAATAGCCATACCTGCGAGATCAGGTGCGCGTGTAGTCTCAATTAAATAGAGTAGGCTACAGTGGTGCAAATTACTTAAGTAAAAATACTTTAAAGTACTACTTAAGTAGTTTTTTTTGGTATCTGTACTTTACTATTTTTATTTTTGACAACTTTTACTTTTACTTCACTACATTCCTAAATAAAATAATGTACTTTTTACTCCATACATTTTCCCTGACACAAAAAGTACTTTTTGAATGCATAGCAGGACAGGAAAATGGTCCAATTCATGCACTTATCAAGAGAACATCCCTGGTCATCTACTGCCTCTGATCTGGCGGACTCACTAAACACAAATGCTTTGTTTGTCAATTATGTCTGAGTGTTGGAGTGTGCCCCTGGCTATCTGAACATAAAAAAAAAAAAAAAAAAATGGTGCCGTCTGGTTTGCTTACTATAAGGAATTTGAAGTGATTTATACTTTTACTTTTACTTTTGATACTTAAGTACATTTTATCAATTACATTTCCTTTTGATACTTAAGTATATTTAAAACCAAATACTTTTAGACATTTACTCAAGTAGTATTTTACTGGGTGACTTTCACTTTTACTTGAGTCATTTTCTATTAACATATCTTTACTTTTACTCAAGTATGACAATTGGGTACTTTTTCCACCACTGGTAGGCTATAGCCTTTGTATACATGGACGGAGTAGCACGGGACAGTTATTTTTCCAAGGAAATGTACTTCCTAAATAGGCCTACGATTAGGCTATAGTTTACTACATTGCCTAAATATTGATCACCCATATTTCTCAGTCTGAAAATCTTCCCACTCCTAAAAGGTAGGCTATAAAAATAGCTAAAGAGAAAGTGCAAGTCTCTCCAACTCTGCTCTCTTCAAACTACATCTAGCATATTGGCTGATATAGCCCAGTAATACAATGTAAGGGCCATGTGAGAATCTCTGGTAATTTAACCTATTTCTTAAGTTATTTTTGCGCATTTGATATTACCTATAGGGCGCAAAATAGCTGGGACCATGGCTGGCAAGTGAGCTGCGTCACATACGCCTAAAATAACATTGCGGGACTGCGGTTGGGTTTGGGACCAGTTCTTGTGGTAGTGGGTGGGAGTCGGACAGAAAGCCAGCGGGTGTGGGTGGGAGCGAGATGAAGTCCCGCGCAGACCTCTACTGTGCACCATGACAGTGAAGCCTGTAACGTTAGAGCTGTTTATTACTGTGTCAGTATGAAAAGTAAGGAATTAGCTAGGGAAACTGACAGATCAATAACATTACATTGACATACTGACTAATAGAACTCACATTGCGCTGAAAAAACTTCTGAATATCAATCTTCAATCGTTTGCCCGATGGCTTCATTGTTTGATTCAGGTCTAGTTTGATTGAGGCAATAATAATAGCTAATGTAAGCCAACTTTTTGCCAGCTCTCTCTCTAACAGTACATCAACTGGCGAAAGCTTGCCAAGTTAATTTACTTCTGAAACATGACAAAACAAAGGCTACAAAACATGTCCATACAAAAAACTGCTGTTAGATAGCTATATGAGGTGGCTATTATTACTATCTGACAGATAACTAGAGGTACCTACTCACTAGCGTAACTTATTCATTCACCTCAGTCGAGAGGGGATGAAACATTAGCTAACATTACATGTCAGTTACAATACTAGCTCAGCACTGCGAATAAACACTAGTTTCTGGGGTTTTCTGTTAAGTTAAACAGCAGTTACCTTGCCGGCTACATCAGTCAACTAAAGAGTAGCCAGTTTCTGTTCCTTTCACAACTTGGTGAAAGAGTGCAACGTGTACACTGAACTATGTTCAACTCTCCCGTGCAGGTCCAGCCAGCCTTCCAGAAGCTTTGCCTTCACACAGCCTGTCAGCCCGCTCTGTGGTGCCCGCGTGGTCCTTAATCCAGTCGAATAAACACTCCAAACAGCCTACCCGACCGCTCGTAGGTGTCTGCATGGTCCTAAAGCACACCTTTGCCTAGTTTTGTATCACATTCCAAAGATTAAAACTGTGGGGGACAAAAATGCAATTTCAGAATGTCCCCCCCATCCCCAGTGAAAGTTGCGCCCCTGCCCAGATACAATGACTCCCTTCATGAGGATATGTGACCCTTTGATTTGCAAATACTGATAGTGACAGAAATCTTTATTTAATACCCTTTACCTATTTTCATGTTATTACCTGTATACCCCAAGGCCTACATCATTAGTCAATATGAATATATGATTATTCATGTACTTTTCATGCAATTTATTGTCAAATCATTTCAAAGTAACAAATAACTTAAAACAATCGACAAAGGCTACTTTGTTTCCGCTTTGGCTGCTCAATAGGGATGTGCTTGCACACTGCCTCCACAACAACGATGACTGGACCAGTCTTGAATTTCACAGACGTAGAATATTGTTCGGTCAATGGAACTGCAACAGCTATATGCAGATCCTAAGGGCATGTGATCACTGACCCACTGAGGAAGGAGAAGAACCAAGTATGAGTCAGAAGAGATCGCTTCTCTCAGTCAGTCCAAAATGCCTTGTAAACTGCTAAATCTATGTGAGTATGAAACACATAAACTGGTCCGAATACAAAGTGTAAGGCTCGGATCGCTGAAATGGACATTTAACGGAGTCATACTGATGTTCATCTGGTGAGTAGGCTATTCTGCAGAAGGATTTAGCTTGCGGTAATAACGGTAATAGACGACGAACGCCCACGCGCCTTGACTGATCAAGAATGTGTGCATGAAAATAAAGTATGAATGTTTTATATAATGATTTCATTGTAAAATAATTATGTATTACATGCATCAATTGTATTTACTATTTATTTTAAATTGTTTACCATCCATCCACTTGTAGCCTTACCAATAGTATTTTAAAACGATCAGGGATATATATATATATTTAAAAAAAAGTAGGCTAACTTACTCCAATTTGCAACATACCATGATCAAATATTGTTTTATATTGTAGCATTATGATGCTCTGGAACAAGGAGTACCAAGAACATGACTATGTGGTCAGCTCTGTTACTGCTAAGGTCAAGGGAGTGGCCTTGACCAGTTTACCAGATGTTGGTGCTATAGTATGGGACGTTGTGGATTACAGTGGACCATCACAGGTGTGTGTGTGTGTGTGTGTGTGTGTGTGTGTGTGTGTGTGTGTGTGTGTGTGTTATGTGTGTGAGAGAGAGTGAGAGAATATTCTTGTTTTATTGTTGTATATTATACACATATTACATTTGTGATATACATGCACATATTTTTACATTGGTTCTGACTTTCTATACATTTGTTTGACTTTCTGTTTAAGGGAAAGAATTCATTTTTTGTGGTGACCAATGTCATTGTTACAAAAGAACAAAGGCAAGGAAAATGCCCTGAGGTAGAGTGCCAGTAGGAAGTCCCTCTCCAATTCCTCTACATTCTAATGTCTTATATAATTTATATTAACCAGACTATTTGATGACTAGAACCCACTAATCTCCTAGGAGTGTTTATATTACAGGTCCCTCCTTATGGAAAAGTGTGTCAGACAGACAAGGACTGTGCAAAGGGGTTCTGGGATCAGCACAGTCACGGTACAACTACAACTGTCTAGAACTTCTCCCATGATCCTTCTCCTCTGTTTGTGTAATCTCTATCTGGTGATACCATTAGTTCTTGCATGGATGGGAGGAATTTGTCCCTGATGTGTTGAGGTTTCAGACGGTCAGCTCTGCTCTGGGTTCTTTACTATAGGCAGATACATTATTGTTATATACGTTTATACAGTAGTAGTAAACATGTAGACACATGATAATAGAACATCTAAGATAATAGTTAGTATTTTTTGTCATGTGAACCATACAATAATTCAAATGTTGCTTTCCTCATTAGGGGTTCAGACAGGTGCATGTGTGAAGTTTGATGTGACACGAAAAACATGTGAGGTGTCTGCATGGTGCCCCATAGAGACCAAGAAAAAGCCCCCCAAGTAAATATGCTCACTATTATTGTTTTCTCAGCATCAGTTTTATGTGATTTTATTTTATTGCATTTATGTGTGTCTGTCCTCTTTCTCTCATCAAATTCATTGTGATTTGATTTGTGGTCTCTTCAGAGGTTAGTTACTCAGTAAATAATGTTATCTTCTCTTCTACATAGACCACTGTCCGACAGCTATATTTATACTTCAGTTCCTCTAATGTGGAGGAAGTTCACTTTGTTAGTGCTGCATGTGTATATAGAGTCAAATATGCCAAGGAACATTGTTTCACAGTAGTTTCACAGAAACTTTGAAGTGAAAATGAAACCGTCTGCTGTAAAAAATTATTGTTTTCACAACTATGCTTCAATAATGCAATTGATGACTGCTCTGACATCTAGGCCTGCTCTCTTGGCATCAGCTGAGAACTTTACAGTCCTCATCAAAAACAACGTCAGATTCCCAAACTTTAACTTCATGAGGTGAGACAGTCCAATTCAATATCAATTAATTTCACTTTTTTGTTTGCACACCACAGTTCTCAAGTATATTATATTCAGAGTAACCTTTACCACCTTTACAGATGTAGGATCTTAATTTGAACACCCAGTTGCAGGATAACTTTCCTGCAATGCAGGACATTTAAAACGTGTAGTGTATTTGAGGTTTAAACATTTTAAAGGCTTCAGACGTTTGTAATTTCCACTTTGACATTTCAGACTTGATTTTCCATAAGGAAAACCCCTACAAAAATGGCCATTAATTATAATCCATATAATAATTCAAATTTCCTCTTGCTGCAGGATTACAGTGGGGAAAAAAGTATTTAGTCAGCCACCAATTGTGCAAGTTCTCCCACTTAAAAATATGAGAGAGGCCTGTAATTTTCATCATAGGTACACGTCAACTATGACAGACAAAATGAGAAAAAAAAATCCAGAAAATAGGATGTAGGATTTTTAATGAATTTATTTGCAAATTATGGTGGAAAATAAGTATTTGGTCAATAACAAAAGTTTCTCAATACTTTGTTATATATACCCTTTGTTGGCAATGACACAGGTCAAACGTTTTCTATAAGTCTTCACAAGGTTTTCACACACTGTTGCTGGTATTTTGGCCCATTCCCCCATGCAGATCTCCTCTAGAGCAGTGATGTTTTGGGGCTGTCGCTGGGCAACACGGACTTTCAACTCCCTCCAAAGATTTTCTATCGGGTTGAGATCTGGAGACTGGCTAGGCCACTCCAGGACCTTGAAATGCTTCTTACGAAGCCACTCCTTCGTTGCCCGGGCGGTGTGTTTGGGATCATTGTCATGCTGAAAGACCCAGCCACGTTTCATCTTCAATGCCCTTGCTGATGGAAGGAGGTTTTCACTCAAAATCTCACGATACATGGCCCCATTCATTCTTTCCTTTACACGGATCAGTCGTCCTGGTCCCTTTGCAGAAAAACAGCCCCAAAGCATGATGTTTCCACCCCCATGCTTCACAGTAGGTATGGTGTTCTTTGGATGCAACTCAGCATTCTTTGTCCTCCAAACACGAGTTGAGTTTTTACCAAAAAGTTACATTTTGGTTTCATCTGACCATATGACATTCTCCCAATCCTCTTCTGGATCATCCAAATGCACTCTAGCAAACTTCAGACGGGCCTGGACATGTACTGGCTTAAGCAGGGGGACACGTCTGGCACTGCAGGATTTGAGTCCCTGGCGGCGTAGTGTGTTACTGATGGTAGGCTTTGTTACTTTGGTCCCAGCTCTCTGCAGGTCATTCACTAGGTCCCCCCGTGTGGTTCTGGGATTTTTGCTCACCGTTCTTGTGATCATTTTGACCCCACGAGGTGAGATCTTGCGTGGAGCCCCAGATCGAGGGAGATTATCAGTGGTCTTGTATGTCTTCCATTTCCTAATAATTGCTCCCACAGTTGATTTCTTCAAACCAAGCTGCTTACCTATTGCAGATTCAGTCTTCCCAGCCTGGTGCAGGTCTACAATTTTGTTTCTGGTGTCCTTTGACAGCTCTTTGGTCTTGGCCATAGTGGAGTTTGGAGTGTGACTGTTTGAGGTTGTGGACAGGTGTCTTTTATACTGATAACAAGTTCAAACAGGTGCCATTAATACAGGTAACGAGTGGAGGACAGAGGAGCCTTTTAAAGAAGAAGTTACAGGTCTGTGTGAGCCAGAAATCTTGCTTGTTTGTAGGTGACCAAATACTTATTTTCCACCATAATTTGCAAATAAATTCATAAAAAATCCTACAATGTGATTTTCTGGATTTTTATTTCTCAATTTGTCTGTCATAGTTGACGTGTACCTATGATGAAAATTACAGGCCTCTCTCATATTTTTCAGTGGGAGAACTTGCACAATTGGTGGCTGACTAAATACTTTTTTTCCCCACTGTATTTTCCTGCTGTAGCAAACTGGCTCAAATTAAGATCTTACATCTGTCATAATCATATGGAAAACAAGCACATTCTTCAATTCAGTGAAAGTGGATCTAACTGATGCGTTTTTGTCTTACAGAAGGAACATCCTCCCTGAGATGACGGAAAGCTACCTGAAGCGCTGCCAGTTTAACAGGCATACAGACCCCTCATGCCCCATCTTCCGTCTGGGGGACATTGTACAAGAGGCCAGAGAAAACTTCTCAGAGATGGCAGTTGAGGTGGGCTGCTCTGTTAGAGGGAGTTTCTCAAACAACCACAAACTTTCACATAAACTAACTCTATGACCCTCAATTATGGATGTCACTCACTGTTGTCTGCATCAATTTTGGCACTGCACATACTGGCATTTCATAACGTTGGACATATTTGATTACTTAATGATCTACAGAATTATGGTCTGGATTCAATCCGTACCTGCGTAAAAATGTTAAGGTAATTTCCGATTGAGCCGACATTTTTGACATTTTAGTCATTTAGCAGACGCTCTTATCCAGAGCGATTTACAATTAGTGAGTGCATACGTTTTTCAAACTGGCCCCCCTGTGGGAATCGAACCCACAACCCTTGCGTTGCAAGCGCCATGCTCTACCAACTGAGCTACAGGAGGGCCAATGCGCAGCGTTTACCGTGACTGCAGTCTCCACAAACGCGGGAACATTGCCTTTAAATTTAAATCGAGATATAACGCGGCTGTTCCGCGATACTTCGGCGATACGGATTGAATCTAGCCCTAAATCACCTTAATTACGTCAGATTACATGATTGTCAGGTTGATGTAAAACAAGTTGAGTAGATCGTCTCCACCATGCTCTCTCACCAAAGGGTGGGGTCATTGGGATCCAAATCAAGTGGGATTGTAACCTGGACGGGTTCTTGCGGAACTGTCTGCCCAAATACTCCTTCCGCCGGCTGGATGAGAAGGAGAGCAATAGAACACTGTACCCTGGTCTCAACTTCAGGTAAATGTGACAGGCCTTGTTCTTGAGGCCAGTGGTCATGTCATAGGTCATACATGGTCAGCTGACCCATGTCAAATTATGGAAAGCTGTCAATCAATAGTGCTATAGACATTTGTAATTTTATATATCAGTGCAATCCAGATATTACATTGTTTAACCTACTACTTGTGTTGGCAGGTTTGCCAGATATCAGATAGAGAAAGGTGTTGAGGAGAGAACCCTGTTTAAAGCATTTGGGATCAGGTTTGATGTCATGGTGTTTGGAAAGGTTTGTATGACTCAGTAAGTCTCATAATTTAAACCTCCAATAATAATGATGGTAATCTTGTGAATGTGCATTTTTTATTTTAAATATATTTTACCCCCTTTTTCGTTGCAATTCCCCAATGGGCTCGGGTGGCGAAGGTCAAGTCATGCATCCTCCGAAACATGACCCACCAAACCGCACTTCTTAACACCCTCCCGCTTAACCGGGAAGCCAGCCGCACCAATGTGTAGGAGGAAACACAGTTCAACTGACGACCGAGGTCAGCCTGCAGGCGCCCGGCCCACCACATGGAGTCGCTAGAGCGCGATGAGCCAAGTAAAGCCCCCCCGGCCAAACCCTCCCCTAACCCGGACGACGCTGGCCCAATTGTGATACAGCCCGGAATCTAACCCGGGTCTGTAGTGACGTCTCTAGCACTGCAATGCAGTGCCTTAGACCGTTGCGCCACTCGGGAGGCTGCATTTATTATTCTAATTAATGAAAATCAGAAAAATACAAATGGTAATTTATATCATGAATGTTCTTTTAAGGCAGGAAAATTCAGCATAATCCAACTGATCATCTTTATTGGATCAACTCTATCATATTATGCACTGGTGAGTGTTATTCAGCTATTTTTATCCAACTTGTTTCAAATGCAAAACTAATAACAGGCAAAGTAAAGGACAATGATTGTGATTTTTCATAGACCACTGTATTCATCGACTGGCTCATTGGGACCAGCTGTTACTCTAAAGAAGCCAGACAGAACTACTCAGAGAAGAAGGTTGAATCTGTTCAGGACAGACAGCAGGTAGGAGTGGGATGGCATTCCCCACTGAGGATTATACAAACCCACAGCAAGATTTTCATTATCATTGGCTGAATTGTTTGAGGTAAATATGTGGTGAGACGCTGAACAATGAGACTATTCTTCTTCTATGTTCCAGTGCATTCTCTGTGTCTCGTTTGTGGACGAGAACCATATAAGAGTGGTGAAAAGATCACATAAGAAAAGTTTACAACAAGTGAAGCCCATCTCCATTCACCCATGCAAGGTTAGCATAACTGTGTTTTCCCCAATGCAGTGCCATTCTCACCCCGATACAACAGATACTCTAAAGATGTCACTTTTAAGCTCACTTTGTTATCCTCCTCGTCTTTTATACAGTAAGTCAGTATGGTAATACATGCATATTGTATCAGTGCATATGACTAATTTGATATGTATTGCACACTTGTTGCCAGGATGACACAGGGCACCTAAGTGCCATGGTTGGTGTATTGCAGAAAGGGAACATCGTAGACAAGCAGCCCCAGGTTCTCCCCCGGCCCAACCGTCCAGCCTGGTGTCTGTGTGGCTGCTGTCTTCCTTCCACCCATCCCCAGGAGCAGCTGTGCTGCAGACAGAGCAGTGGTCGCTGCATCACCACCTCCTCCCTGTTTGAACAGCTGGTGCTGAGTCGGCCCTTGTTGGATATAGTGCTGCTGTACAGGGAGCCTCTCTCTGACCTGACCGAGGGGGAGCAGCGGATCGCCGCCCTTCGCCACTGCGCCTACAGACAGTACATCAGCTGGAGATTCGGGGCCCCACTCAGAGAAAGCATCCCTGTCATGCCCAGTTGTAGTTTGTGGAGAATCAGAGAAGAGTACCCCAGCCAAGATGGAGAGTACACTGGTCTGAGGCCCAGGAGAACTACCTCTCACCAGTCCGGCCCTAACACACAGCTTTAGGGAAGAGGAAGAGTCAGTGTTATAGAAAGCTCCATCAGAGATTGGTCCTCATAATGTAGCGACTGTACAACGCATTTGAACTGGTGTATTGATCTAATCTTCCATTCAGCATTAAGGTTAACATTTTCAACCGGAACATTATCTTCGCCTGTAGATATTGTGTCCATCCATCCCACTGTGTAGGGACCATCAATAATGAAGAGGGAAATAACGTAATAGACTTTATCTTAGCTGACACTGAACAGGAGCTAACTGGATGTGGGAATTGCTTTATCTTTCCTTTGACTGTCTACTTACATGTGACTTATTTCAATTATTTGTTATATTGGAACATATGTTTTTTACCATGTGCAATAAATGTAACTTTGAAAATATTGTTGACTTGATAACGTAATTTCACAACTTCTCTAGTTCTTGTGTGCATACAGCAGTACATACCGTTTTCATGCAGCCATTGGAGTGAATGAACAGCAGGTTAATTATGCCTATTTTCAGATATGGTAAATTTGCCAAATGAGCCCGGGTCAGTTGTAATTTTCATACTAGCCATGAAAATGATTTGACTATTATCTCAGCAGGCTGTGACACCTCTTTACCTCTTTTATCACCCTCATTGCTAGTTTTCTACAGTGTAACCAGAACTCTGAAGATGGGCTGCTGCAGCTGTCAGAGCTGCCACAGCTGTTTCTTTGAATATGAAACACCAAGAATGATTGTGGTGAAGAGCAAAGTAGTGGGATCTGTCTTCAGATTAATCCAGTTTCTGATCATCTTTTATGTGATTGGGTAAGTTGGGGATTCAATTATTTTGTTTCTTATATTAAAAAGCCAGTGTTCCACTACATTTAGTCAGAGTGGAAGTGTGAATTTATCACTTTGTCTCTACACCTGTGTCCCCTTGTGTCCTGTTACACTATAGCTATGTCTGTGTGGTGCAGAAGTCCTACCAGGAAACAGACTCAGTGATCAGTTCTGTCACAACCAAGGTGAAGGGCACAGGCTTCACCAACACCTCTGATCTGGGCGCCCGTGTGTGGGACGTGGCTGATTACAACATCCCCCCTCAGGTACAGTGGTTGAAAAAGTACCCAGTTGTCATACTTGAGTAAAAGTAAAGATACCTTAATAGAAAATGACTCAAGTAAAAGTCTAAAAGTATTTGGTTTTAAATATACCTAAGTATCAAAAGTAAAAGTACAAATCATTTCAAATTCCTTATATTAAGCAAACCAGATGGCGCCATATTATCGTTTTTTAAATCTACGGAAAGCCAGGGGCAAACTCCAACACTTAATTTACAAACTAAGCATGTGTGTTTAGTGAGTCTGCCAGATCAGAGACAGTAGGGATGACCAGGGATGTCTTGATAAGTGTGTTAATTGGACCCTTTTCCTGTCCTGCTAAGCATTCAGTACTTTGGGGTGTCAGGGAAAAGGTATGGAGTAAAAAGTACATTATTTTCTTTAGGAATGTATAAATAGTAAAGTAAAGTACAGATCCCCCCCCCCCCAAAAAAAAAAAAAAAAACTTAAGTAGTACTTTAAAGTATTTTTACATAAGTACTTTACACAACTGCTCGGGTAGCATCCTATACTCCATACACTATCTGCAGTGTATCACTTTTTTGTTCGTTTGAGTTCAGATTGTATTGGTAACTGTTTTTGTATAGAAAGATAATTTGTTTTTGGAAAATGTGTTCTGTCTGGCAGGGTGAGAGTTCTTTCTTTGTGTTGACCAACATGATTGTCACCCCCAATCAAACTCAATCGAGCTGTCCAGAGGTAAGCTGTTGATTTCTCATTTAAAAGACATTGAAATGTGTAAGTCTATATTGTAAAATGTGTATTTATTGTTTGAATTAAACACTACTTAAAATGTCCAGTGAAATGTTAAGTTGGACTGTATTTATACTTAAATAATACATTGACTTAGAAGATATGCTTTATACAACCATTATTTCAATGGTAATCAAAAAGTATTTGAATGATAGTGAAATGCGATCCTGTATCTTCTTAAGCTCCCAAACCAATCCACCATTTGCATGTCAAACAGTGACTGCTTAGAGGGATCCAGTGATGTTCGTGGAAACGGTAGGTCTTCTTGCCTTGCTGATGAGTCCTTGTAAAATTGTTAACAAGGGCAGCAACCAGCAGGGAGATAGCTGAAACATTCATTCAGGGTTTCGTAAGAAAATAAATATCTACTGCTCCAGAGAAAATTATCCTGAAATTCAATTATATTTTCAGAATCATCCTGCAACATATTTGATTAACTAAACAGCAATGTTTTCTAATCCTATTACTCTGTTAAAAGGTATCCAGACAGGGCTATGCATGAACTACTCAGAGACTGTCAATACATGTGAAGTGCTATCTTGGTGTCCTCTTGAAATAGACACTAACTTACCTGAGTAAGTAAGAACAAATTATAATATGATTCATGAGGGTATACTCATGGGGCAAGGTATTATAAGTGTAAAGCATGTTGTATCATAGACAGGCACTGCTGGCTGCAGCAGAGAACTTCACGGTGCTAATCAAGAACAGTGTGACCTACCCCAAATTCAACTTTCACAAGTGAGTCATGTTTGTTTGTTTCACCTAAATGAAACATGAAAAGGAATAAAGGCAGGACACCTGCTTGAGTTTTACTTTTTTCTGCAGAACACCTAATAATTTCTCTTTGGTCTCTTGCAGAAGAAACATTTTGTCTGATGTTAACTCTTCATATCTGAAGCAATGTGAATTCAATCGCATAACAGACCCTGACTGTCCCATCTTCCGCCTCAAAGACATGGTCTCTGAAGCTGAGGAGGACTTTCAGACCATGGCTATCAAGGTATAACATTTAACTGTACACTCTCCTCTTAGGTCACTTACAAGCCTTGATTCTGCATAAGCCCATTCTAGATATTCCTGTAGTTATTCTCAATGCTGTGTTTGGTTTATGTTGCAATTGAATGGGAGGGGGCTTTAATCATCCTTGTCCATCAGGCCACATTTTGGCAGTGGTGTCACTCATTGGTATATCAAATTACACATTTAAATAGATGAATTTGAAATGAGTCTATATGGTTCTTAAGGGTGGTGTTCTTGGGATTGTGATTGACTGGAGCTGTGACCTGGACTGGCCTGAACATTACTGTGGCCCTAAGTACTCCTTCCGCAGGCTAGACAACAAAATTCCTGAAAACAACGTAGCCCCTGGATACAACTTTAGGTGAGATCAATGAACCTGTGGACACAATACTGTTAGAGAATAAATACAGCTTTTCAACAAGACTTATTTCCACAGGTTTGCCAAGTACTACAAAACCACAGATGGTAGGGAAACAAGAACATTGATCAAAGCATATGGAATCCGGTTTGATGTCATTGTTTTTGGAACGGTGAGACTCAACATAAAAAGCTATCTATTCTTCAACCACAGGAGTAGAATACTTAATTTTGACAATGTATGAGCTTTATATTCACAAGATGGTAAAGGCAACAATTGATTGAGACCACCACAATAAGGGTTTTAGTGTCAAATGACAAATAGGCCTACCTTGCTCTGCTGTTCTTTCTTTACAGGCAGGTAAATTCAACATGGTTCCGACCATAGTGAATGTAGGTGCAGCGCTTACGTTTCTGTCTTTGGTAAGTCCTGTTAACTGGGGCCATCTCCAAACACTCATTGTTTGTAAAGAAACATTAATTATTAGTACCATAAAGCACTTCTGAGAAATGTTAGCCTGTTAATACAGTGTAATTTAATTGTCATTGTCAGTTTGATATAGTCATGCAAGTGTGTACCCTTAGGTGGATGCAGTTTGTAACTGGTTTCTCCTGACATGCACAAAGAGAAGAGATTACTACAGCAAACACAAATTCACATATCTGGATAACACTGATGACGATGCTGGTGAACCTGTGAGTTACTGACTCCTCAAACTCTTATTCCCCTATATACAGTACCAAAGTAAACACCAGCAATTATCAGGGAATACTTACAACAATAATTATCACTATTCTTTGCTTAACAACCTCAACTTGACTGTTAATCAACTTTTTAATTATGCAGATTTTACTTAAATTAGTTGTATAAATCATATGTTAATCTGCCAAATTCTTATTGGTCTGTACAGCTGGGAGAAACCACTTACGGGACCCAGTAGATCCTGCACAGAGAAGTGGTCTGTTCACATTGTGGGAGAATGTTGAATCCATCTTCTTTTCTCCAGACCTCTACCTATCTCCAATCTCCAGCCCCTGCCCGCTAAACATCATACATGGGGCATGTACTCATATTTCCTTATATTCCAGATTAAGCCTCTTCAAATGTGTAGTGTATAATCTGTTATTAGTTATTAGGCTACCTTAAAACAAGGTACAAATAAATAGTAAGAAAATCATTTTAATATGGAAATTGTCATTTCACATCATTGATCACAAAAGAATAACAAAGAAGTTGTAATATAGAAAGTAGAAAATATATATTTTTAAACTATCGCCTTTTCTGGAAAATATTTCCTCTTCCCATCCCTCCACGTCCTCGACCCCTGGCAGCCACTGTGAAAGAGGAGACAAAGCAAATTGTTTGTCAATAAACATACACTGCTCAAAAAAATTAAGGGAACACTAAAATAACACATCCTAGATCTGAATGAATGAAATAATCTTATTAAATACGTTTCTTTACATAGTTGAATGTGCTGACAACAAAATCACAAAAATTATCAATGGAAATCAAATGTATCAACCCATGGAGGTCTGGATTTGGAGGCACCCTCAAAATTAAAGTGGAAAACCACACTACAGGCTGATCCAACTTTGATGTAATGTCCTTAAAACAAGTAAAAATGAGGCTCAGTAGTGTGTGTGGCCTCCACGTGCCTGTATGACCTCCCTACAACGCCTGGGCATGCTCCTGATGAGGTGGTGGATGGTCTCTTGAGGGATCTCCTCCCAGACCTGGACTAAAGCATCCGCCAACTCCTGGACAGTCTGTGGTGCAACGTGGCGTTGGTGGATGGAGCGAGACATGATGGCCCAGATGTGCTCAATTGGATCCAGGTCTGGGGAACGGGCGGTCCATAGCATCAATGCCTTCGTCTTGCAGGAACTGCTGACACGCTCCAGCCACATGAGGTCTAGCATTGTCTTGCATTAGGAGGAACCCAGGGCCAACCGCACCAGCATATGGTCTCACAAGGGGTCTGAGGATCTCATCTCGGTACCTAATGGCAGTCAGGCTACCTCTGGCGAGCACATGGAGGGCTGTGCGGCCCCCCAAAGAAATGCCACCCCACACCATGACTGACCCACCGCCAAACCGGTCATGCTGGAGGATGTTGCATGCAGCAGAACGTTCTCCACGGCGTCTCCAGACTCTGTCACGTGCTCAGTGTGAACCTGCTTTCATCTGTGAAGAGCACAGGGCGCCAGTGGCGAATTTGCCAATCTTGGTGTTCTCTGGCAAATGCCAAACGTCCTGCACGGTGTTGGGCTGTAAGCACAACCCCCACCTGTGGACGTCGGGCCCTCATACCACCCTCATGGAGTCTGTTTCTGACCGTTTGAGCAGACACATGCACATTTGTGGCCTGCTGGAGGTCATTTTGCAGGGCTCTGGCAGTGCTCCTCCTTGCACAAAGGCGGAGGTAGCAGTCCTGCTGCTGGGTTGTTGCCCTCCTACGGCCTCCTCCACATCTCCTGATGTACTGGCCTGTCTCCTGGTAGCGCCTCCATGCTCTGGACACTACACTGACAGACACAGCAAACCTTCTTGCCACAGCTCGCATTGATGTGCCATCCTGGATGAGCTGCACTACCTGAGCCACTTGTGTGGGTTGTAGACTCCGTCTCATGCTACCACTAGAGTGAAAGCACCGCCAGCATTCAAAAGTGACCAAAACATCAGCCAGGAAGCATAGGAACTGAGAAGTGGTCTGTGGTCACCACCTGCAAACCCAGTCCTTTATTGGGGGTGTCTTGCTAATTGCCTATAATTTCCACCTGTTGTCTATTCCATTTGCACAACAGCATGTGAAATTGATTGTCAATCAGTGTTGCTTCCTAAGTGGACAGTTTGATTTCACAGAAGTGTGATTGACTTGGAGTTACACTGCTCAAAAAAATAAAGGGAACACTTAAACAACACAATGTAATATGTTTTACAGTATGTGAATTTTCAAAAATCGACTATGGTTTAAATGCCAGGATGTTATACTCATTTCTGCTCATCATCTAGTAGAATTTGATGCACACTTTTCCACAATGCATTGGAAGAGGTGGACTGCGAGTGATAGGCCCTAGTTCTCTTCAAGTAGCCAAATCTAGGCTACTTAATTGGGAAGATGCCGAATAGCGAAGCTTCTGCGGTGCTGTTCAAATGTAGGCTAAGTAGTTTTTGTTCTCCTTAAAATGATCATGAGTATTGCATCGTAGGCTATATCTTTGAAAACATATGTTTTTTTGTTTTTACCCAAAGTGGATTTCTGTTTTCTCATTGAAAATGGTTTATTGTTCTCTTGGCCTTCGTTAAGTTTTTTAACGAAATACTAAACCATCTTTTGATTTCTGAATGTGTCGGCACAGGAGACTCGGGATGTGGCTGCGTTATTGACGTCATGTTAAATCAGGCCTTTTGATTTGAACATATGGATTGCTTAAGTTTTGTAGGCTACCTATTTAATTAATGGATCAAGACTTAGCAATCATTCTGATCTCGTTCCCAATGATCAGTGCTTTAGTTTAATATGTTGCTGTCCAGTGGTACTGAATTTGCGATGCACCCGATTGTCCACGTTTTTCTGTGCAATAGCATTTTGATTTGAACATTTGAAATGTTTTCGTGTGTGTAATAGGCTATTTAATGTATATATGTTAGAGCGCTTTGGTTTCACTAATAAATATGTTGAAATGGAACCAAATGATCAGTTTCTGTCTTCAGTCATTTTTAAATAGGATAGATGGGCTATATGGGCTACGGTATAGGTAGAATGTGATAGTCTGTCTATAACCAGCCTGAGTAGGCCTATAACTCAATTTCTATTCTATTCAGAGTTTAGAGAATTTAATAGAGTTAGAAATTAGCTATTATCAGGCTGGTTAATGCAATGCATGTCTGTTGAATTTGGGAAAATCCTCCCACACTCAGCCCCGCTCCACCTACTCAGCCAGTCAGGATCCGCTACTACGTTGCGGCCGTGACATAATGCATACTTTTTACTAAACAGTACGTGCTAAATAGTATGTGACGATGAGTAGCCTACATAGTATGCAGTTTAAGTATGGAGTATGCTAGAATGGGTATTCGGACACAGCCAATGACTGACAAGGAGTTGGCGTGATGGCACTAACAGACTGGCACCTAGTCTAGTAGGATACCAAGGTGGGTCTGATTAGGGCAAGAATGTAATATAAATATGTACCTTGTGCTTTGAGAATGGCAGCTTTTCCTCTTCCTGCTCCAGCTCCCTGGTTCTTGTTCTTCATACTCTTTAGCATGGGTGCATTCTTCAGCATGTCAGGGAGAATGAGGAATCTGATCTTGCTGCCTCGGATGTACACTTGCTCCAGCTGGGCTACACGGCCGTCTCTGTGGGTCACTGTGATGTTGGCCATCTGGAGGGGGCAGAATGTGTAATAAGAAATACATCACATTTAGATGAGGATGGGAGGGGGTAGGTTGTGGAGGACTACTTCATGTGTAGCTAAGGAACCCTCAACTCTTTTTCTCTTATATGGAGGTGGAGCTGAGTTTTGATGACTGGTTGCAGGATTTGCTAGCAACAACATTGAGTCACCATCAGTCGATTCTTGAAAAAATGTCAATTCTGAAAACGATTCTCGTTTTTCAAGCGAAGGCCTTTAAGGGAGTACGCGAGCACACTCGTTCAGTTAGCCGAGCTCGACTAGGCGCCAGCCGAAGTTAAGCATGCTGACACCTGAATAAGGGTAGGGGTTAAGGTTAGGGTAGGGACATGCCAAGGTACCGGATAGCACGGACCCAATTGAATCTCAGCTTACCTAATACGTAGTATGAGCAACGAGAAAAAAAATTGGTGGTTGTATTCGCTACAAGTGTTTATTAGAAGTATGAATTTCAGCACCCCGCGGAAGCGCCGCAGTTGTACAGGACAAACATAGGTACAGGTAAGAGTTTTCAGAATTGACATTTTTACAAGAATCAACTGATGGTGACTCAATGTTGTTGCTAGCAAATCCGCAACCAGTCATCAAAATTCAACTCCGCCTCGATATAAGGGAACGGAGTTGAGGATTCCTCAGCTACTTTATGGGGGACTCAGGGATCACAGAGGCTGATTTGTATCTAGCTTGCTATATCATTTTTAAAAAAGTTTAAAAAGAGAGACATGACCCCTCACATTCTGAAATAGCATTTTTGGCCGGCTGGATTTAGGACCATGCGAACACCACAGAGTGCGAACAGCGGCAGCTATTGTCTGTGTGTTGTGCTTTTTCTCAGAGTTGTAAAAGCAAGCAGAGCAGAAACTGGCTATTCTTTATTTTACTGATGCAGCTGGCAAGGTATCTGCTGTTTGACTTAACAGAAGAAAAAAAAATAGTATTCCCAGTGCCGAGTTAGTAGTGTAACTGACATGTAACGTAAGCTAATGCATTACATGTTTCAACCCCTCGACTGAAGTTTTGTCTGAAGTTAATGAACTAGCTACCACAGCCAGTTCAGCTCTAGACTCTAGCTATCTGTTTGATGAAATAATTAAGACACGCAAATGACTAGAGGATGTCCGACCGCAATTGATTTGATTGTGCCGCCTGACTCAGACTTGCTGTGCTGTGTTAAAAAAAGACAGTGAGTGACTGTGTGACTAACACCCGTTCTCCATCTCTCCTCCCTGCTGCAGCGACCACCACAGAACATTAGTGTGTATAGCTGTCAGTGTTGTTGAAGCTGCAACATAATTACAGCCATTTCTGACTGAAAAGTTGTTCCAAAATCCCTAATTTGTTTAGGAAAAACATTCCCTATTCCCTCAATATTTGCTCTCTGTACGTGACACGCTTTTGTCTATTTCTGGAAAATACTGGAGATCAAGAAAAAGAAGGTATGGAGCAAGCACTGCGTGCATATTAGAACTGTGGGTGCCAAACAGGTGCTGTTAGATTACAATAAAAAATGTCTGACTGTTTGGAACAATGTAAACACTAAATAATTTATAAGCGTACCAGAGTGTTGTAAAAAATAATAATTGTAAAGCCTTTATTACAGCAAGACTACAAAAAAAAGTTGCATTCATTTGTGAATGCAATTTCCGAAATGGAACAGTTTAGGCCTATTTATTGTTTAAGCTAATTATTAATTATTCAATGGTCGCCTTGTTATTTTATTCTAAAACTAAAATGCTTGATTGCATTTCACATCATGAACAACTCGTATGCTGTGTGATGACAAATAAATGATTGATTGATACAGTAGCCTATATAAGTATTGAAATATTGGCCTAAGTAAGTTACGGTATTAAGACTAAACAGGAGGCGCTCTTAGGCCTACAGCTCGATGGTGGTTATACAAGGCTGCTATACTAAGCCTACTAATGATAATGACATTACTTATTATTATAATGATGATCATAATAATAATAATAACAACAAGGAGATCAAGGAAAAATGAGGGTTATTATTATAATAAATATAATTTCTGAATATTTGGAACAGTGGAACACTAAATAAATTAAATAATACCAGAGGCTGGTCTCACGAAAATAAGAAAAAAAAAAGGTGTAAAGCCTTTATTACAGCATAGCAAAGATTCAAAACAGCCGCATTAGTGAAATTGTTGCGTGAGGCTTGGTGCTCACGGAATCAGTAGGCTATCAACCAAACACTCAAATAGGCAACAGAAGCAGGATGTCTTATTTCTGTAGATATCCAGTGCCTTTGGAAAGTATTCAGACCCCTTGACTTTTTTGTTAGGTTACAGCCTTATTCTAAAATTGATTAGAAAATGTGAGGAAGACCTGGGAGACACTATTGATGATAATGAATGGATACAGATATGTTTGAATGCCCAGTCATCTCAGACACAAATTACTGCAGTTTAAGACCTTCCATAGAACGTACTATATGCCAGTGAAACTGAATATCATGGACTCAGAAATGTAATTCCTCTCCTGGAGGTGTAAAACACAAAAGGGGACATATTTGCATATGTTACGCTCTTTAATATGCCATTTAGCAGACGCTTTTATCCAAAGCGACTTACAGTCATGTGTGCATACATTTTTACGTATGGATGGTCCCGGGGATCGAACCCACTACCCTGGCGTTTCAAGCGCCCATGCTCTACCAATTGAGCTATAGAGGACCAAGAGGACTCTTGTGAAGGTTTGCTGAATTCTGGCAAAGAGTATGTTATTTTATCTCAGCATGTCCCTTTCTCCCTGTTTTTGTTTGCTTGGAAATGTTGGTACTGGAGACTTATCAGAAGAAACTGTGTAACCTAGCATTTGTAGTGGCTAAGAAATGCATTGCCATTAATTGGAAGGTTGGTTATCCTCCCACAATGTCACAATGGATGGCAGAAATGTCAAGTTATGTATCACTAGATTTGCTTTATTACAAGAGTAAAGGTTTACTGTGCAACTTTCATAAGGTCTGGATGCCTTATATGGAATACTGTACGACAAAAGGAGTCTGTATTGAAAACATGCCCAGGTCAGGGGAGACACCTATTTAGGCAATCCCTAGCTGCTGGGCTGCTCAGTCCTGGCCCTGGGGGTCTGTCGCACTGTCGGTTGTCACTCTGGCCTAACACACCTGAAACCAATAATGAATGTTTCACTAAGATCCTAAATCTGAGTGGGGTATGTTGAATTGGGGTGTTGCAGGGCGGTGGACCCTTTTTTATTTTTATTTTACCTTTATTTAACTAGGCAAGTCAGTTAAGAACAAATTCTTATTTACAATGACGGCCTACACCGGCCAAACCTGGACGACGCTGGGCCAATTGTGCGCCGCCCTATGGGACTCCCAATCACGGCCGGTTGTGATACAGCCTGGAATCGAACCAGGGGGTCTGTAGTGACGCCTCAAGCACTGAGATGCAGTGCCTTAGACCACTGCGCCACTCGGGGCAGGACAGGGATTTTTTTCTTATTTTGGCTCTATATTCCAAACCGTTGAATTTTCATTCAAACAGTGACAATGAAGTTAACGTGCTTATTGTCAGCTTTAATTTGAAGGGGTATTTTCATCCATATCGGGTGAACCGTAGAGAAATTAGAACACTTTTTGTACATATTGGGACAAATTCACTTGTATGTGTAATAAAGTAGTAAAAAGTTATGTATTTGGTCCCACATTCATAGCATGCAATGACTACATCAAGCTTGTGACTCTACAGATAATCCTGAATGAATCGTGAATAATGATGAGTGAGAAAGTTAGACGCACAAATATCATACCCCCAAGACATGCCTCTCACCATTACAATAACAGGGGAGATTAGCAATTTTAAGGGGGTATGATATGAGTCTATAACTTTCTCACTCATCATTATTCAGTCAGGATTATACATAACTATGGTAGCATCCACATTCATGTAAAAGTGGTTAGAAACAGATTCTATTCTTATTTACAATAAAAGTGACCCTAAAAGGGTAATATTAGATTGTATAGAAATGCAGGAAATTAGCATTAGATGCCCAATACATTTGAGGGAGCAACCCCAAACCCCCCACTTCTAAATCAAAAGTGTCTCCCCTGACTTTAAAGTTTGAGATTCATGATCATACCTGGCAGTTCATGTTGTCCTCAGCTTCAATGAGTTTCCCGCGGTACACCTCCCCGGTGTTGGTCTCGCAGGTAACAATGTGGCCCTCAGCTTCATGAAGGACTTTGATTGGCACTCCAATGGACATCTTTCCGAGTACCACCACATATAACGTAATGGTTTTAGTCCAAGAGTAAATAGTTGGCTTAATAGCTAACGTTAGCTTCTTTGCCAATAAAATCAGTAGCTAGTAGCTAAAACAGGATGAATAGAATTGGTTGGCAGGAAGTTAGCAATCATAGTACAGTACCTAGCTAGCTCATCGTGTACACTGCCACAATATTTTACCTACTATAGCTAGCTAATCATGGTGATAAACGTATTATCTTACCGTTTAAATCCTTGCAAACCAGTTGGCGAATATTCGTGGCAATTATTCAGTTAGCACTAGCTAATATTTTTATTTAGGTCTAGCTATGGGAGAATGACAAAGATGCTTTCAGCTTCTTTGATAGCTAGCTAACCTCTCCAGCGCCGTTGATTTCCTGTTTGATTTATAGCCATGCCTAAGTAAGTTACGGGGAGAACTGTGTATGCTGCCACCTACTGCCGACGGTGCAGTTTATTGCACTACTACGGTTTTTAAGTTTTACAAACAAGTTAAGATACATGTTTTATATTAAATGTATAGTGTGCACAAGCAATTAATCAACTCTAATAATGTGGGATACACAGTGATGGATGTTGTTCTTGTGCGCAACCAGCGTTTCTCTCAGGGGCAGTATAGTTTCTGCAGACACTTTTGACTGTGTGTGCGTGTGCGTGTGTGCACATGGGTGTGTGCGCGCCACCTAGCCACCGGAAGGGAGTTTGGCTCGGTAGTCTCCTTAGCCAGCAAGAATAAGCAAGACCTAGAAAGAATAAGGCCGTGATCTCGGCGATTTCAAAATAAAAGTCCCACAATGAATATGGTAAAAAAATATATACAAATGGTAAAAAGGTTAAATAAGCAATAAGAACAGCCCTTAGCCATGGCCAATATACCATGGCTAAGGCCTGTTCTTATGCACAACGCAAAGTGGAGTGCCTGGATACAGCCTTTAGCCGTGGTATATTGACCATATACCACAAACCCCCCAGGTGCCTTATTGCTATTATAAACTGGTTACCAGCCGTAAAAATAAATGTTTTGTCATACCTGTGGTATACCACAACTTTCAGCCAATCAGCATTCAGAGCTCGAACCATCCAGTTTATAATCGCCTTTATAGCACAAGTAATATTATTGACATTATTGTTAACAGCATTAAAAGTAATGATTACTATATAGTTATCATGGTAACAACAATAATACAAATAACAAAATATGATTTATAATGTTACCATTAATAATAATAGTAATAACAATATTAATAATAATAGTATTATTATTATAATAATCAACTTTGGAAAGCACTATTAAATCCCATTGTTAATTAGCCCATTTGTATTGCAAGATGCTCAGTATGTTTTTCATATTGGACATACATATTGCACCGCACACAATTTCCTGTACATTGTGTCGCAGTAAAAGGTGGGAGGGTCCATTCTACTCAGGAGCACTTATACTGTCCAAATCAACAGAGTTTACAACCCAAGGAGCGCCGCTGCTCATTCTGCGGCCCTTAAAGAATCGGCCCTTAAAGAATACATTGTAAAGTGGTTATCCCACTGGCTATAAGGTGAATGCACCAATTTGTAAGTCGCTCTGGATAAGAGCGTCTGCTAAATGACGTAAATGTAAATGTAAAAAGCTAGGTCATAGGAAGTGTTGCTGGACTTTTATTTTGGTCAAACAGCTTAATGTGGGGTGCATGGACACTATATGGTACAAATATAGCATTTTAGAACTAAAACTATTGTCCATAAAACCAGGGTCCAGTCTATCACTTTAATTATCTGCTGACTGACTAATTCCGGGATATATCTTAATTACAAAACAATAAATTAACCATTTTAGATTACTCATTTTTTGCTTCCACTGAGTGTACAAAACATTAGCAACACCTCTCTACTATTGAGTTGCACTCCCTTTTGCCCTCAGAACAGCCTCAATTCGTCTGGGCAAGGTGTTGAAAGCATTCCACAGGATTGCTGGCCCATGTTGACTCCAAAGCTTCCCACAGTTGTGTCAAGTTGGCTGGATGTCATTTGGATGGTGGACCATTCTTGATACACAGAAGGAACTGTTGAGCTTGAAAAATCCAGCAGCGTTGCAGTTCTTGACACACTCAAACCGCTGCTCCTGGCACCTATTACCATACCCCGGTCAAAGGCACTTAAATATTTTGTCTTGCCCATTCACCCTCTGAATGGCACACATACACAATCCATTTCTCAATTGTCTCAATGCTTTAAAATCCTTCTTTAACCTGTTTCCTCCCCTTCATCTACACTGATTGGATTGAATTTAAGAAGTGACATCAATAAAGGATCATAGCTTTCCCCTGGTCAGTCTATGTCATGGAAAGAGCAGGTGTTCCTAATGTTTTGTACACTCAGTGTATACCTGACTTGCACTCTTGGCTTGCCCTATAATGGAGGTGCCAAATTCCGACTATTAGCAGCTGATTAGGTGAGAAGCTAACTGCTTAAGCAAAACAATGGAAACAATGTGATCAGAAGATGGCGTGTTAACTGACTGGCATACCTGTAAATGATCTACATTATCTTAATGATGGGAAGGCTGCAGACTACACATTTAAATCAGACAGCCTTATGTGTCCAAAAAAAAGTGTTTTGGCTAGACAAATAAAATATGTTTTTTGAGGCAGTATCCTAGTAAGATCATGTTGCTACAGGTTAGTATCTCCCCAATCATCACGCATATTTTTATTTTCTTAAAATGAGGTGGAAACAATGTTGATTCAACCAGTTTGTGCCCAGTGGGCTGACTCAGCCCATGAGATGAAGAGGATCTTGCATTTCATTTGAAACTTCTGTTTTACTGTTGATTATCAATTTCACAAAAGTATTGGATTAATTAACTTCATTGTGAATAAAGTATGCATTTTTTTTGTAAATTGCATCTCTCTTCACTTTTTGAATAAACATATTGTTTGTTTGTAGAACGCGCAGCGAAACTCCCCATAGTGTGAACTCTGTGGATTTTGAAACTAGAGATGCTCCTGAGTAGAATGGACCCCAATTTCATGCAAAACAGTGTACAGAAAATGGTGTATGGTGCAATATGTACAGTGGGGGAAAAAAGTATTTAGTCAGCCACCAATTGTGCAAGTTCTCCCACTTAAAAAGATGAGAGAGGCCTGTAATTTTAATCATAGGTACACGTCAACTATGACAGACAAAATTAGATTTTTTTTCTCCAGAAAATCACATTGTAGGATTTTTAATGAATTTATTTGCAAATTATGGTGGAAAATAAGTATTTGGTCAATAACAAAAGTTTCTCAATACTTTGTTATATACCCTTTGTTGGCAATGACACAGGTCAAACGTTTTCTGTAAGTCTTCACAAGGTTTTCACACATTGTTGCTGGTATTTTGGCCCATTCCTCCATGCAGATCTCCTCTAGAGCAGTGATGTTTTGGGGCTGTCGCTGGGCAACACAGACTTTGAACTCCCTCCAAAGATTTTCTATGGGGTTGAGATCTGGAGACTGGCTAGGCCACTCCAGGACCTTGAAATGCTTCTTACGAAGCCACTCCTTCGTTGCCCGTGCGGTGTGTTTGGGATCATTGTCATGCTGAAAGACCCAGCCACGTTTCATCTTCAATGCCCTTGCTGATGGAAGGAGGTTTTCACTCAAAATCTCACGATACATGGCCCCATTCATTCTTTCCTTTACACGGATCAGTCGTCCTGGTCCCTTTGCAGAAAAACAGCCCCAAAGCATGATGTTTCCACCTCCATGCTTCACAGTAGGTATGGTGTTCTTTGGATGCAACTCAGCATTCTTTGTCCTCCAAACACGACGAGTTGAGTTTTTACCAAAAAGTTCTATTTTGGTTTCATCTGACCATATGACATTCTCCCAATCCTCTTCTGGATCATCCAAATGCAAACTTCAGACGGGCCTGGACATGTACTGGCTTAAGCAGGGGGACACGTCTGGCACTGCAGGAAGGATTACTTTATCCTATCCCAGGTATTCCTTAAAGAGGTGGGGTTTCAAGTATCTCCGGAAGGTGGTGAGTGACTCCGCTGTCCTGGCGTCGTGAGGGAGCTTGTTCCACCATTGGGGTGCCAGAGCAGCGAACAGTTTTGACTGGGCTGAGCGGGAACTGTGCTTCCGCAGAGGTAGGGGGGCCAGCAGGCCAGAGGTGGATGAACGCAATGCCCTCGTTTGGGTGTAGGGACTGATCAGAGCCTGAAGGTACGGAGGTGCCGTTCCCCTCACAGCTCCGTAGGCAAGCACCATGGTCTTGTAGCAGATGCGAACTTCAACTGGAAGCCAGTGGAGTGTGCGGAGGAGCGGGGTGACGTGAGAGAACTTGGGAAGGTTGAACACCAGACGGGCTGCGGCATTCTGGATGAGTTGTAGGGGTTTAATGGCACAGGCAGGGAGCCCAGCCAACAGCGAGTTGCAGTAATCCAGACGGGAGATGACAAGTGCCTGGATTAGGACCTGTGCCGCTTCCTGTGTAAGGCAGGGTCGTACTCTCCGAATGTTGTAGAGCATGAACCTACAGGATCGGGTCACCGCCTTTGATGTTAGCGGAGAACGACAGGGTGTTGTCCAGGGTCACGCCAAGGCTCTTCGCACTCTGGGAGGAGGACACAACGGAGTTGTCAACCGTGATGGCGAGATCATGGAACGGGCAGTCCTTCCCCAGGAGGAAGAGCAGCTCCGTCTTGCCAAGGTTCAGCTTGAGGTGGTGATCCGTCATCCACACTGATATGTCTGCCAGACATGCAGAGATGCGATTCGCCACCTGGTTATCAGAAGGGGGAAAGGAGAAGATTAGTTGTGTGTCGTCTGCGTAGCAATGATAGGAGAGGCCATGTGAGGATATGACAGAGCCAAGTGACTTGGTGTATAGCGAGAAGAGGAGAGGGCCTAGAACTGAGCCCTGGGGGACACCAGTGGTGAGAGCACGTGGTGCGGAGACAGCTTCTCGCCACGCCACTTGGTAGGAGCGACCGGTCAGGTAGGACGCAATCCAAGAGTGAGCCGCGCCGGAGATGCCCAGCTCGGAGAGGGTGGAGAGGAGGATCTGATGGTTCACAGTATCAAAGGCAGCAGACAGGTCTAGAAGGACAAGAGCAGAGGAGAGAGAGTTAGCTTTAGCAGTGCGGAGAGCCTCCGTGACACAGAGAAGAGCAGTCTCAGTTGAATGACCAGTCTTGAAACCTGACTGGTTTGGATCAAGAAGGTCATTCTGAGAGAGATAGCAAGAGAGTTGGCTAAAGGCATTCTTTAAGGGCTCCACAATGAGCAGCGACGCTCCTCTGGGTGTAAACTCTGTAGATTTGGAAACGAAAGGTTCTCCTGAGTAAAATGGACCCCCCTTATACTGCGACACAACGTACAGAAAATATGTATGGTGCAATAAATGATAGGAGTACATAAAAAAAAAAACATTGTTGACCATTTAGTCTTGAAAAATAAGAAATAAACTAATAAATCACATAATATCTCATATAAATACTTTAATTATTATTTTATGATAACTAGTATAAAATATATAGATAATTGTGCACATTTTCCATAGTTTACGCCTAATTATTCATTTACAAAGCATACAGGACGGAACTGTTATGCTGAAGATTCCAAAAATCCTTGACCCAGAAGTACTTAGTTATTCTTTCCTGCTTCATAACGTTGTTTCGTTTGTAGTTTTCTCTGAATATAACCATATAGCTAGTTAGCTTACTAGCTAGCTGAACAGAACTATCTGTGTACACTATAAACCAATCCTCAACTATTCACATATATCAAAGCTGTAGCTACTACTTTGAAGGATCTAACAGTTAACTTAGTGAACGAATCGACCATCATCAAGTCGACCGACCAGATGTAAATAATGCTAACGTTATGTGCTAGGGTAAGCTAATTTCGTTGCTAGCTAGGCAGTCCTAGCCAACACCCTCATGAGGCAATCCATCTCCGGAGGATTAGCTAGCTACCAAGTGTAAACAAGTCTGACTAACTTGGGTTTTGCATCTAGCAGCAAAGAACAATCCAACAGAATGTCAGGTAAATGTAGTTATGTTCTAGCTAGAGAGTGGTTTTGAAATGTAGAGTTTGGTAGTTGACCCCACCTAATTTAGCAAACGTTAGCTAGCCACCAATGTAAACAGTGGAGCAAAAGCACCCCATCCATTTCATGACATTGTCACATGTGAATTGTACTTGCTTTCTTTATCAGTGGTGCTAAAGGAATTTCCAATCCATGAGAAAAACAATAGTTAACTAGCTAACTAGTAAACACGATTTGAATTCATTTGGAGAAGCTTGCCACAACAGCAAGTAACATAAATATTTTAGGCCCGGGTGAGACCAGTATCAATGATAGTGTACTTATTTGCAACCGCCTCATCATTGCAACCGCCTCATCATATCTTGTTTTTGACAGATGATGCCATTCTGCTGAATGTACCTGTCATTCGGCAGCTGTACCACTGGGACTGTGGATTAGCCTGCGCAAGAATGGTTTTGAAGTAAGGGAACATTTCATCATATACTGTACATACATGGTACACAGACTTGCGTGTGTCAGCATTTTAACTACAGTAGATACAGTACATTGTGATGCTGAAGACCTCATCATGCAAGTGTCACTTTTTTACCATCATTTGGTAGGTACCTCCACCCTGTGAGTGATGAGGAGTTTCAGGGTGCATGCTGGGAGCTGAAGCTTACGGAGAGTGTGTGGACAATTGACTTGGCCTACCTCATGTGCCAGCTGGGGGTCAGGCACCGCTTCTGCACTCAGACACTGGGAGTTGACAAGGGCTTCAGGAATCAGGTAATGGGTCAACACTTTGTAGACCATCACAAGAAGTACAATAGTTATAATGTATAAGTACATTTCATTGTCATGTACCCATTAAAAGGGGACCATCGCACTCTTCCAGAAGTTTGGTTGGTGCGTAAAACTTGTGAATTCAGATAAGCAAAAGGGTGAGATGGGTTCACACTCAAAAAGATGTTGCATAAAGCTTTTTACAATTATTTTCACTGCATCAGGGATAACGTACACAGACTTTTTGGCTATGCAGCTTTCTTCAGTGTGTAGAAGAAGGCTGCAAAGCCGAAACGTCCCTGATGCAGTGAAATTAATAAAACAATTCTAAAAATGAAGTAAGCTTTATGCGACATCTTTTTGAGTGCGGACCCATCGCACCTTTTTGATGTAGCCCACCATAACAAATATCCTTAATTAAATAATTATAATAATATAATATGCCATTTAGCAGACACTTTTATCCAAAGCGACTTACAGTCATGTGTGCATACATTTTTACGTATGGGTGGTCCCAGGGATCGAACCCACTACCCTGGTGTTACAAGCGCCATGCTCAGGTTAATTAATTCCTACAGAGGAATTAATTAACCTGAGAGACTTACCATGTGTTTCTTTTGATCTGTTTCTAGTCCTTCTACAAAAAGCATTTTGACACTGAGGAAGACAGAGTGAACAAACTCTTCCTAAAGGCTGAGAGCAAGAGTGTGGTGGTGAAACAATGGTTAGTTACCTTTGTGAAAAATAAAGAAAGACAAATTGTTCCAAAACTGTATGATAGGCTTGTCTGGTTAGTAATAGTTGTTTTCCAGACCTAGAGAGAGAATAACTTTCTCACTTTTTGAATGTCACTTGTAGCTCAGTGACAATTCAGGAAATCCAGGAACATCTTGACGAGAGTCATGTGGCCATAGTGCTGGTCAACGCTGTGGTTCTGGTGTGTGAACTTTGCTCTTCGCCTGTCAAGTACTGCTGTTTCCTGCCTGTGGGCCAGAAGTGCTTCTGCAGGAAGCCAGAATACCAGGGTCACTTTGTGGTTGTGTGTGGCTTCAACCGGAGCACCGGCTGCATCTTCTACAACAACCCTGCCTACTCAGACCGTGAGTCCTCCCTCTACACATCTCCAAAAGTGAACAGTACCACTGACATACCAGACCCATATATCATTAAGTATAAGTGTGGAATAAATCACATTGTGTTTTTGGGCATTGAAGTTCTACATTTAAACACTTCTTAATAAATTGCACAATAACACCCACACCTGACCCTGTGCCCTGCATGGTGCGTTACATGAACATGTAACCAGAGGGTGAAAGCACAGAGAGATTGAGTAAGAGTGAAAATATGACATTGACAGACAGCCTTTGGGTGTTTTGCTTGCAGGCGTGTGTTGCACCAGCATTAGTAACTTTGAAGAGGCTCGAATGAGCTACGGGACAGATGAGGATATTCTGTTCATCTTCAAGGAGAGCTGATGTTGATGGTGCAGATGACGATGCAGATGGTCTCCACATCATCATAGCGTCCAATCCTCACTATGATGACACACCAGTGGGTCTACAGGTCCCTGAACGGGGACTGCTGGTTCCAGCTCTGGCCCAGTGTTGTAGATGGCCCTGGGCTGTCCACTCTAGTGCTAACATGGCTGATTGCTCACAGAACACACAACACCACTCCAACGTTACCACACCAATCTCACCACACAAAGCCCATGCTAGTCGTCAGTGTCTAAAGGAATAACAGCTGAAGAGATCAATAAAGCAAGTGTGGTTTTTACGTTGGTTGGGGGACAAGCAGATAGATGAAATAGAATAAATGAATTTTGACAGTGTCCCCTTTTGTTTAGTTTAAGTTGATTCCACCAATTGCCATGTGAAATAGTTAGCAGTGCAAGACCATAATTCCTATTCCTAATGCTGAGTGGACAAAATGCCAATGACACTCAAGTTGTTTCTAACCTTGGAGAGGAGGACAAAACAATGCACATACAAGGGCTTACGGCAACATGATGCTTTCTTAATGCTTTATTCTGATGTCATGCTACTTGTCATGCAAGTCTGATGGGCCATGTATAGCTGCTTACCTCCCCTCAGACGAGCCTAGTCTTATTTTATTAATAGTTTGATTTGTATTTAAGGATCCCCATTAGCTGCTGCCAAGGGGTCCAGCAACATTAAGGCAGTCATATACAATTTAAAACATTACATTACATTTCATAACACTTTACCCAATACATTTAGTGTGTTCCCTCAGTCCACTACTCCACTATCACATATTTAGTGTGTGTCTTATCATGTGTATGTGTGTCTGTGCCTGTGTGTGTCTCTTCACAGTCCCCGCTGTTCCATAAGGTGTATTTTTACCTGTTTTTTAAATATGATTCTACTGCTTGCATCAGTTACCTGATGTGGAATAGAGTTCCATGTAGCCATGGCTCTATGTAGTACTGTGTGCCTACCATAGTCTGTTCTGGACTTGGGGATTGTGAAGAGACCTTTGGTGGCTTGTCTGTCTGTTAAACGTAACTTATTATTTAGGATTTTCTAATAACAGGGAATAGAGGGATACATTGTTTTTGAAAGACTCAGGTAATTAATGTCCATGAAGTCTGATGTGTTGTATTACAATGGCAAACCCATTTCACAAACTCATTTTCTTAATGCAATACAACTTGACCAATAGCCTGTTTATGGAACCAAATCTGCCTGGCAGGCTTAGATGTCAGCCATCAGGACATCATGTTCAACCTCAGCCAGCTGCTTTGAACAGACTTTGCTCTTGTTGTGTGCACCAGATAATCAGTTAATGTTGTTTCATCGGAAGGTCCCTTTACAGTGTAAGGGAGAGTGGAGACAATGTAACGTCTGAAATACTCAGTACGGGGTAGATGGATGCTTTGTAGGTTTTGCTTCAGGGTATGACTTAACACTACCGTAAAGTTTTAAAGGAACTCGATCATAAGATGTTTTCTGTTGAAAACCGCTATCAATACGTAGAATGACACCTTTACTTAATTCTCATTCAACATTTATTTTTACATTTTGGTATCATGGATGATGTTATTGCACTATGGTATTTGTACCAGCCATAATTATGTTTTATTTAATTTTCATTTTAACATAAGATATTTTCCCAATCTACTAAATGGGTGGGAAGACAATTATTTATTCCTGGTTGTGTATTTTTGTTATGAGCACGTTGTGTTAAAATGGCAAACTTTATTTTTATGAAATATACAATTCCATTTACTTACTGTAATCAATAAAATAATTTGAACAGATAATTTGGTTTAGTTCATGGCTAGCTTGACTGGTCCGTTCATACTCTCGATGGCACTAGTCATGTCTGCCTCAACACTGACTTCATGTCCTCATTGAGATACTGTCTACAGAGCAGCACGTCTCTGTGTAGGGGTCCCTTCAGGACACATGGATCTTCTACTCCTTGATAATGTTGGGCTTGAAGTCCTGCTTGGTGGCCCTGGTGAGCTCCTCTGCATACTCTCCATACCTCCCAGTCATCTGCAGATAGTTACAGTGCAAACCACTTAATGCAAATGTAATAGACCAGGGTTGTGTTATCGCCTAACTGAAAGCTATACAGGTAGACCAGATAGTGATGTCTGTTAGGCAAAAATGCATTTCCAAGAAGGACGTGATGAACTGCTGTTACTGCCAAAAACATGAGTTGAAATCATGTAAAATATGGCCACTGTTGTGAAATAAGGTTATTGTGAAATCTCAGTAGTTCACCTTAAAACTCCATTTGACACTGACTTGCCGGGTCAGGTTAAGGTCCATTTCGGTCACAAGGAGTCCGTCACGGGTTCTGGACAGGCCTGGTGAGCGGCTGCCATCCGGAGCAGCCACATAGCTTGACCCATAGAAGTGCCCGAAATCTTGGTGAGCTATAAGGAACAAAGACAGGACTAGTTGACAATCAGCTTTTCAATAAAACTAGTCGGAGGAATCCCAACTGGATGACAGGTGGCTTGTGTCTACCTGGTCAGATTTCAGCTACGTGTAACAAGAGTAGGGCAGGACTGCATGTTCAACCTGCAACTTTATACATGGGTATTGAAGTCTTTGGATATGAGTGTGGAAATAACATTCAGCAACATGACACTTGTTGATATGGCTGCTTTCCCCGGGCCTGTTCTGGATGCAGAGTGTCAACAGCAGATAGACACTTTGCACTGGGGTGTGGCTCATACAGTGAGGTCCAAAAGTATTTGGACAGTGACAAATTTGTTGTTTTGGCTCTGTACTCCAGTGCTTTGGATGATACAATGAATATGAGGTTAACTGTCAGTTTTAATTTGAGGGTATTTTCATTCATATCGGGTGAACGGTTTAGAAATTACAGCACTTTTTGTACATAGTCCCCCCATTTTAGGGAACCAAAAGTATTTGGAAAAATTCACTTACACCGAGTATATAAAACATTAAGAAAACCGTCTCTTTCCAAGACATAGACTGACCAGGTGAATCAGTCTTGATGTCATTTGTTAAATTAACTTCAATCAGTGTAGATGAAGGGGAGGAGACATGTTAAATAAGTATTTCTAAGCCTTGAGACAATTGAGACATGTATTGTGTATGTGTGCCATTCAGAGAGTGAATGGGCAAGACAAAATATTTAAGTGCCTTTGAACGGGGTATGGTAGTAGGTGCCAGTCGCACCGGTTTGTGTCGAGAACTGCAGCGCTGCTGGGTTTTTCACACACAACAGTTTCCTGTGTGAATCAAGAATGGTCCACCACCCAAAGGACATCCAGCCAACTTGACACAACTGTAGAAAGCACTGGAGTCAACATGGGCCAGCATCCCTGTGGAATGCTTTTGACACCTTGTACAGTCCATGCCCAGACAAATTGAGGCTCTTCTGAGGGCAAAAGAGGGGGGTTGTGTTTCAGATTATTCTTCAGATTATTTTGTGCCCAATAGAAATTAATGGTAAATAATGTATTGTGTCATTTTGGCGTCACTTTTATTGTAAATAAGAATATAATAAGTTTCTGAACTTTTCTACATTCATGTGGATGATTCCATGATTATGGATAATCATGCATGAATCGTAAATAATGATGAGTGAGAAAGTTACAGAGGCTAACCTCTCACTATTACCAATAACAGGGGAGGTTAGCATTTATGGGGGGTATGCTATTTATGCCTCTGTAACTTTCTCACTCATCACTATTCACGATTCATTCAGGATTACGCGTAATCATGGTAGCATCCACATTAATGTAGAAGTATTCAGAAACATTTTTAGAAACATTTTCACATATTGTACAGACTCAAAACAACAGAAAATGTGTCACTGTCCAAATAGTTTTGGACATCACTGTATATGAAACACGGGTCTATGCACTGTCAATGATGCTGGCATAGACTTGACCCATGTCTGGATATCCGTTATCGATGCGTTGACTTATTCAGAAGTATCTCATGCATACATAGATCCATGTCAAATTCTTGACAGAAAGATGCAGTGTTGAGTTGAAATAGAGATTTGCATATGACTATATTTTGTCACATACAGGATAAGGCAGGAGAGGACAGTGTCCTAAAAAAAGACTAAAATATTCATACCTTTTTTTCCATCCCCAGAGGTGAACTCATTGTTAAAGTGCTCCTACATAAAACAAGAGATATCCTTGTCAGAAAACCGCATCATGATGGCACATTCATTATGTAATTTACACCAGCTGTGAAGTCTAGCAGTGGCATATGAGGCTACTATACACAATAGAAGGAATACCAGTATACTGTAGATAATTGGACTATGGAGGCAGTAGGGGGCAGCATAGAATAGATGTTACAATGCACCTAGGACTTGGCTCAATAATACGTGGTTGTAATAGAGGAAGATGTGGAACAAAATAAACCTGTCTTTGGTGGTACTTACAGTCCCAACACGGTTGATTCCACAGGTGAAGCAGTGGTTTGCTATAGCTGCATTCCTAGCCTCGATTGACCACATGGGCTCACTGAGTCCTCCAACAGTTGCAGAGGGGTTGAAGATGATTTCTGCTCCATTCATACTATACATTAACCAGTTCAGAGGGTGATGGCGCCCATAGCAGATGTTCACAGCAATCTTTCCAAACTGGGTCTGAAACACTCTGTGGCCAGTGTCTCCCTCCATGTAATATGTGGACTGAGTAAGGGAGGGAAGAATAAAAAGTCAAAGCAAAAGTCTGTGCATATCTGCATCTAGTATAGTATATCTTACATAAAAAGATGTAAAAGGTCATTTTAACAGGGTTACGTGTAAGGAAATATAGAAAAAAGACTAAAGTTAAAGAAGGTTCAAATAAATTGTCACAACCTCTACAGATCTAATGTATTCCTAAGGAAATGGTGGAAATGGTTGATACTGTAGGTGTCAGTGTAGGACAATGAACATGAGCAATGAACATGGGGCGGCAGGTAGCTTAGTGGTTAAGAGCGTTGTGCCAGTAACCGAAAGGTCGCTGGTTCTAATCCCCGAGCCGACTAGGTGAAAAATCTGTTGATGTGTCCTTGAGCAAGGCACTTAACCCTAATTGCTCCTGTAAGTCGCTCAGGATAAGAGCGTCTGCTAAATGACAAAAAAACATGAACATGCAGAATCCATTGACCTGTAAATAGGTTTATTGGATGACATGACATGATTATGGAGAACCTGTTGTGTTCACCAAGTAATGAGCGAGCACCCATGTCTTCCTAGACACACTATTGTGGGAGCTGGATATGAGGACTTACTGTTTGATGAACAAATAGGACACTATTCAATTAATATGTACACAGTGATCTGCTCAGGACTTGTTGTACACTTACATGTACATAACCTTTCAGACATAGAAAGTGCAGCATGTACTGCACGGCAACTATGGCAGTAGGGTAGGAGGTATGCTATCCACACATGCAAGAGCCCTCTCTGATCCCTGTAATTTAACTAGTGCCTGTGTGGTTTCACTGTTAAATTCCTTGAAGCTCACTGGAAAACCATATTCTGTGAAAGAAGGCACGTGTTCCCTGGGTGATACATAGGTTGTGGACAGAGGCACAGACCATCATGGAGAGGATCAACAGTGCCAGCTGTGAGACATACAGTACTGTATACTGGGTGTTTTGTCACTTTGTGACAAATTGGGCTGTATACATACAATTGTTTGATTGATTGTTTGATCGCTGATAAAAATATTGATTACTGTACTGACCTCGTTGAAGTCTCCCACCCGGGGAATGTGATTCTTCCTGGTTTTACCCAGCACGCTGCCCGAGTTAGAGACCACTACTGCCGTGTTCCACAGAACGTTGTGTACCTCTTCTCGCTCCAAAATGGGCGATATCACTACCATATTGTATTTCTTTGCCAGCTGAAGACAAACAAGAGTAGTTTTAGACATGGGTCATCATACAAAGAGACAAGGCTGGAATTACCCATCTCTATCAGCACACATACAGTACGTGTAGACACAGGGACGTATTGTGGACAACAGCGCACAGCTACGTGCTGGAATGCTCATTTCAGATGGGAGCTGATGTTTTTTATATGTTTTAGTCCACAAGCTGAGCATGAACTCCCAACACAAACATTTATTATTTATTATTCAATATTATTAGCTTTGCGAACTAACCTACAGTACAATCACTCTGTTTCTCAAAACAGTATACATTCAACAATTAGGCCTATATAATGTTGTAGAATGTGCCTTGTAATTAAACAATGGAACATTATTTCACATGCTAAATAATACACTAAGGAGCAATGCCAATCTCCAATCTATGCAATGGCATTATTTGACAACAGTTTCATATCTGTTCATTGTAATCCTCTCTTCTCCAGACCATTTCCGGAGACCTTCTCCCTTACCTCACCTCGCTCATCAACTCATCCTTGTCCGCTGGCTATGTCCCTTCCATCTTCAAGAAAGCGAGAGTTGCACCCCTCCTCAAAAAACCTACAATCGATCCCTCCGATGTCAACAACTACAGACCAGTATCTTTCTTTTCTCTCCAAAACTCTTGAGCATGCCGTCTATTGCCAACTCTCCTGCTATCTCTCTCAGAATGACCTTCTTGATCCAAACCAGTCAGGTTTCAAGACTGGTCATTCAACTGAGACTGCTCTTCTCTGTGTCACAGAGGCTCTCCGCACTGCTAAAGCTAACTCTCACGCCTCTGCTCTCATCCTTCTAGACCTATCTGCTGCCTTTGATACTGTGAACCATCAGATCCTCCTCTCCACCCTCTCCGAGTTGGGCATCTCCGGCGCGGCTCACTCTTGGATTGCGTCCTACCTGACAGGTCGCTCCTACCAGGTGGCGTGGCGAGAATCTGTCTTCGCACCATGTTCTCTCACCACTGGTGTCCCCCAGGGCTCAGTTCTAGGCCCTCTCCTATTCTCTCTATACACCAAGTCACTTGGCTCTGTCATATCCTCACATGGTTTCTCCTATCATTGCTACGCAGACGACACACAATTCATCTTCTCCTTTCCCCCTTCTGATAACCAGGTAGCGAATCGCATCTCTGCATGTCTGGCAGACATATCAGTATGGATGTCGGATTACCACCTCAAACTGAACCTTGGCAAGACGGAGCTGCTCTTCCTCCCGGGGAAGGACTGCCCGCTCCATGATCTCGCCACCACGGTTGACAACTCTGTTGTGTCCTCCTCCCAGAGTGCAAAGAACCTTGGCGTGATCCTGGACAACACCCTGTCGTTCTCCGCTAACATCAAAGCGGTGACCCGATCCTGTAGGTTCATGCTCTACAACATTCGCAGAGTATGACCCTACCTTACACAGGAAGCGGCACAGGTCCTAATCCAGGCACTTGTCATCTCCCGTCTGGATTACTGCAACTCGCTGTTGGCTGTGCTCCCTGCCTTTGCCATTAAACCCTACAACTCATCCAGAACGCTGCAGCCCGTCTGGTGTTCAACCTTCCCAAGTTCTCTCACGTCACCCCGCTCCTCCGCACACTCCACTGGCTTCCAGTTGAAGCTTGCATCTGCTACAAGACCATGGTGCTTGCCTACGGAGCTGTGAGGGGAACGGCACCTCCTTACCTTCAGGCTCTGATCAGTCCCTACACCCAAACGAGGGCATTGCGTTCTTCCACCTCTGGCCTGCTGGTCCCCCTACCTCTGCGGAAGCACAGTTCCCGCTCAGCCCAGTCAAAACTGTTCGCTGCTCTGGCACCCCAATGGTGGAACAAGCTCCCTCACGACGCCTTCCGGAGACACTTGAAACCCTACCTCTTTAAGGAATACCTGGGATAGTATAAAAGTAATCATTCTACCCCCCCCCCCCCCACCCCACCCCCACAAAATATAAATAAAATAATAATAATAATAATAATAATAATAATAATAATAATAATAATAATAATAATAATAATAATAAAATAAAATAAAATAATAATTGTAAAGTGGTTTCCCACTGGCTATAAGGTGAATGCACCAATTAGTAAGTCGCTCTGGATAAGAGCGTCTGCTAAATGATGTAAATGTAAATGTAATGTAAATGTAATTGCTGTTAAAGGAATTTGTAAAACTACAGTATAATTGTGCATACTTACTAACCATACTATTAAATGGCTACTACTCTGACTGTTCTCAGAGTATGAGTCACTAGCAGTGTTGCATTAGACATGGTACATTCCTGTACTCTGGATGACCCCTGAACTCTCACCTCTTGGCAGAAGCGGGTAGTGTATCCTTCTTCTGAAGACTCAGCAAACTCTGTCCACGGTTCTTTCTCCCGGGTACAGAAAGCAAAGGGCATAGCTGTGGTGGGGAACAAAGCAGGATCATCTCCAAAAACTCAAGGCAGTCAGAGCAAGGCAAACTAGAGAACAGTTAAACATAACTTTGTGTGCATATCATAAGTATGTCTCTCAGAGGACAGAAAATATGCACAATATGCTCCAACTATTTGTCACATGAGCAGTCTTTACACCATGAGAAGCATTTTGGTGCAAACCTCTGTGTACGCTTATCATTGTCGTAAATAGTTGTGGGGATGGGGGTCACCTCCCTCATGGGGCACTTAGGGTTGAGTTTAGTGTGTTTCTATACTGGGAGACTCTAAGGAGCCAGAGTAATGCACTCCTCATTCACAACACATCAAAATGCCATTTAGGAGCCAAAACAAATAGGACGACAGACTGTTTGGTGTGCTGCTGACGTCACTATGACCAATTAAGGACAAATGAACCTACTGCCGTATACCCAGATCCTATCACCCTGTTATAATTCCAAAAGTCGACAGTTACTGTAAAGTGAACAGGCACAATTTGTATCCTATTTCAAGTGGAATTATCGTATACTCTGTAACAAATTGCACAAAGAAAAGTTTCGGGAAAGCATTGATAAGCTCTAATAGGCTACCCCAGTAAGACCGAGATCTAGTTATGTCACTCACTCCAGGCCTCCTGAAAGCAGACAATGTTGACCCCACACATAGCCGCCACATCCACCATCTCACCAATCCTTTTGTGGAGCGCTGTGATCTGGGCAGAGGTACGAACACAGGGATCAGTCACCAAGCCCCATGCATCTTCTCAACACTGCTCATAGCAAGGACTTGAAAGTGCAATTGTAACTTCCCATGCATATATAATGAGAAGAAGGAGAGAGAGCCATAGCTGCAAACAATATTGTAGTAGGCTTTGGTTGGTAAAATAAATTGAATCCAAGTAGTCATTCCTCTCTAACCTGATCCAGAACAGGGGCATCAGTGGGCAGAACGATGCGGTTTTGAATGAGGCCCACCCGGACAGTTCTCGGGGTCCTGAGCTGCTCCGGGGAAGCTTCAAACATGTACCCCTGAAGCTCAAAGTCCCGCTCCAAAGCAGCCTCCACTGCACATGCTGGTAGAATCAACTTCCTGCAAGAGATTGTCAAATGTACTGTAAACCGTAGTTTCAAGGAGGAAATAAATCAATATGCGGAGGGACAGAAGGTCAGATAACCCTAATTACCCAGACAGAAATGACTTAATTGACTCTCGTCTGGGTTCACAGAGCCTCAGCAACACCTGTATTGCTGGTAAAGCCTTCAAACAAGTACATCTTTGTGTAATTGTATTAACAGTTGACTAACTAACAAAATTCAAACAAAAACCGTTTTTGATTTAACTATCCCTTTAATTTGGCCATGGCTGCCATGGGGTACCAACCATATACTGAAGACTGAGGATTACCCCCATGAAAGGTTCAATACTGCCCCAATCTACAGGCACAAATATGACAGCGGTTGAAAGGACACTGACTGGTCAAAGTCCACTTCATTGTAAATAATTTACTCACTATGCAAAACATCAGAGTGAAAAGGAATGATTGGATATGAAAATGAAGAGGCAGCAATATTTTCCTATATGTTTCACTTCATAATAGCAGTGTGGCTGTACATACTGTCCAAATAGTTATGAAACTTGATCTATTTTCTCTGGTAGCCTACTAGCCAGCAGATCCGACCCGCTTCCTTAAAGCTGCACTAGGGTTGGACAGGTTTTCTGTGTAGATTAAGACACCGTAGGAGCCGGTGCGAGATATGAGATATGGCTCGGAAAACGTACCTCAATCCAGGGATGAGAAATGCGTTGTACTCAATGATTTATATAAACACTAGATGACTGATAGGTGGCGCTGTGTTGAAGCCACTGTGCCTCCATCTTGGCACCCCCACCATTGTATAAAGTATTTTGGAAGCTGTAGAAATGCATTTATTAATGTCTACATTTGTTTTTGCCACATGTATTATTTTAAAGACAACTTAATGTATGCTTTTAAATTATATTATGTGAGCTAAACATACAAATAACAAAAATGAAAAATATATATACATTTCCTTTAAAGTAGTTTTTTTTTAGATGACTAATGTTACTGTCCCCACTACAATAAATAAATACTTATATACATGTAATTTTGTCAATTTAATTGAAATACTGTAGAATTCCATTCATTCTTATGGAGGACTGCTCCTACTGCGGAGTGTCAGTATGGCCGACTGGTGGCTTCAAAGCCTCTCAATAGCCAATACATAGTATCAGCAATCCAGGGTTTATATACATCATTGGCTGGACTCCGAATTGTCCCATTATCCCAAATGTTACACCGAGAAGATTGAACGACTGCTAGTTTTTAAGTAAACTGTCGTTCTCGTCCTCACGCTAGCTAGCCATAGACACAGAAGCAATTATGGAATGCCACATCGCGTTGAACAACAAAGTCGCTCTGGATAAGAGCGTCTGCTAAATTACGTAAATGAGCTGATTTGCTGACACTGCCATTCCAAAATGACTGCTGTGGCTTCTGCTACCTAGCATGAGGATGAAAAGGACAGTTTTCCGGAGAAAATAGCAGTCGTTCAATCTTTTTGGTGTAACAGTTGGGATAATGGGATAATTCGGAGTACAACATCTTTCTCATCCCTGGATTGAGGTTAGTTTTCTGAGCGATAACTCGTGCAGGCTCCATGTTCTCTTTATCTACACAAGAATCCTGTCTGACCCTAGTGCAGTTGTAAGCAAGCGGGTTGGATCTGCTGGCTAGTAGCCTACAGACAACGAGCCTACAATTTTTGCAGACTAATAGTGTCGCGTGCAGAATTCGACAACAACTCACTTGATTTCTTTTCCAAACAAGATTCGTTTAACTTCTTTCAGTTCCTCATCTGGAATATGTTTCTCCAATATCTTCTCCAAAGATTCAAACTCAGACCCCGACATTGTGAGGCTCCTTCTGTACACTGTCCAAGCCGTGTGCGTGTGTTTGTGAACCCGATCACCCAGTAAACCCACCCCGTCGACTATTGGGCAAAATCTACATACTTTGTCCTTTTGCTGCGGTTATGCAACCAGGCCGATCACACTTCTCAGGGTCAAATGTCATCACGAGTCATGCTCAGCACTACAGGAATTATGTTTATGACAGGTCACAGGTGTAGTATCGGACTTGGGTAGGTCTACTGTATCAACAAATATACTGAACAAAAATATAAACGCAACATGAAACAATTTCAAAGATTTTACTGAGTTACAGTTCATGTAAGGAAATAAGTCAATTGATTTAAATTCATTAGGCCTTAATCTATTTCACATGGCTGGGAATACAGATATGTATCTGTTATTTTTTTTAAAGTAGGGGTGTGGATCAGAAAACCACTCAGTATCTGGTGTGACCACCATTTGCCTCATGCAGCTCTTCACATAGAGTGGATCAGGCTGTTGTCCTACTCCTCTTCAATGGCTGTGCGAAGTTGCTGGATGTTGGCGGGAACTGGAACATGCTGTCTAACACGTCGACCCAGAGCATCCCAAACATACTCAAGGGGTGACATGTCTGGTGAGTATGCAGGCCATGGAAGAACTGGGACATTTTCAGCTTCCAGGAATTGTGTACAGATCCTTGCAACATGGGGCCGTGCATTATCATGCTGAAACATGAGGTGATGGCGGCGGATGAATGGCACAACAATGGGCCTCAGAGTCTCGACAGGGTATCTGTCTGTGCATTCAAATTGTCATAGATAAAATGCAATTGTGTTCGTTGTCTGTAGCTTATGCCTACCCATACCATAACCCAACCGCCACCATAAGAAACTATTTTCACAACGTTGACATCAGCAAAACGCTCACCCACACAACGCCATACACGTGGTCTGCGGTTGTGAGGCAGGTTGGACATACTGCCAAATTCTCTAAAACGATGTTGGAGGTGGCTTATGGTAGAGAAATGAACATTAAATTATCTGGCAACAGCTCTGGTGGACATTCCTGCAGTCAGCATGTCAACTGCACACTCCTTCAAAACTTTAGACATCTGTGGCATTGTGTTGTGTGACAACTGCACATTTTAGTGGCCTATTATTGTCCCCAGCACAAGGTGCACCTGTGTAATGATCATGCTGTTTAATCAGCTTCTTGATATGCCACACCTGTCAGGTGGATGGATTATCTTGGCAAAGGAGAAATGCTCACTAACAGGGATGTAAACAAATTTGTGCACAACATTTGAGAGAAATAAGCATTTTGTGCATATGGAACATTTCTGGGGTGTTTTATTTCAGCTCATGAAACATGGGACCAACACTTTACATGTTGCATTTATATTTTTGTTTAGTGTATATATAGGCTACCTGTATTAGTTGTTCAACTAATAATTTCATTTAAACTGTATTAATTGTTGTGAATTCATGGATAAGTAGGCTCAGGCTACATTTATATGCCTTTAATAAATTCAATGGTCCATATAGTCTAATTCTCACATTTGTCTGCAGTTCAGGCAGTCCAATTCTGATATTTTTCCATTAATTGGTCTTTTGACCAATCAGATCTTTAAAAAATAATTGGAGTGAAGAGAACCACAGCACCAACACAATTACATGTATATGGTCCACAGCATGTCCATCACCATCTTTTTCACCCTTCCTCCTCCCCTTTATTATGATCATTTTTTGTACTTTTTACCTCTTTTTCTCCCCAATTGGTAGTTACAGTCTTGTCCCATCGCTGCAACTCCCGTACGGACTCTGGAGAGGCGAAGGTCGAGAGCCATGCATCCTTGGAAACACGACCCTGCCAAGCCGCACTGCTTCTTGACACACTGCTCACTTAACCCGGAAGCCAGCCGCACCAATGTGTCGGAGGAAACACCGTACAGCTGGCGACCGAAGTCAGCGTGCATGCGCCCGGCCCGCCACAGGAGTCACTAGAGCGCGATGGGACAAGGACATCCCGGCCGACAAACCCTCCCCTAACCCGGACGACGCTGGGCCAATTGTGTGCCACCTCATGGGTCTCCCGGTCACGGCCGGCTGTAACACAGCCTGGGATCGAACCCGGGTCTGTAGTGACGCCTCATGCACGAGGATGCAGGGCCTTAGACCGCTGCGCCACTCAGGAGGCCCCCCTCCTCTCCTTTCTTAAAAGTCAAAGTTTTCCAGGATGGCTCTTCTTGTTTCCAGCAGTGGGCTTGCGCCGGGTCTGGTTGACAGAGCCTTTCCTTGAGGGACCACCCTTTCTGTCCCGCTCCTTACAGGGGTTGGACAGCTTCTTCAGGACCTCTGAGGTAGAAAAATGTACAAAAGTAACATACACGAGTATAGACAGCTAGTACATACATATTAACCACCCCTTATCGTACAGTCTTAAATCAGGCTTGATGTGGGTTTGCTTAAGGCTAGTGTACTCCACATGTACAGTAACTAGGCAAGAAGGTCACGTTACAGGTACTGTCCCATAAGGAGGCCACAAACAACCACTTTAGATCATGGTCAGTGCCGGCACTGAATAAAGCCATGCAGTGGTTTCAGTCGTGCACATTTGCCTCTGTGCTGTGGATGTTTTTTTCCATTACCTGCTAACTCAGGATGGCTCTTGCCAAGGTCATTTAGGAGTGGCACATACTTCTGCCCTTCAGTCCCGTCACCTCCTGGGGTCAATATGAATTGAATTAAAGTTAACCAGTTTCATTACTGTAAAATAACTTCAGTAATAATAACATTTACTGCAGCCATGTTAACAACCTATCTATAACATATTGGTAGGCCTAGTAATCGTGTGTAGAGCAGGCAATGTGAGAAATCACTCTTTGATCCCATGGGATCTTTAGACATACATAGCCTAGTGCCTTTATTATATTTGGAGAGACTCACTGCAGATGCGTATGAGGACATAGCTGTGCCTCTCCTTCATCAGACTGCTGGCCTGCTCCATGCTCTGCTCCTTGTCACTCAGGTTCACCAGCTCCCCTGTCCTGTCCATCAGGTCCACACAGTCTGTAGAGTACATCTGTAATGTGACATTTACACTGGGCTCTCTCTGTCTATTACATATTCACTTATTGGCATTTACTCAGTCCGGAAACAATCTGGCAGACTGTTTCTATCATTTCCAGTCATTGGCAGAGATGCCATGTGAATACAACCTCACATGGCAGTGTACTGTATAATGTACAGTATATACAGTAGTGTTTGTATCATGCTTTCAGACTATTTTATGTGTAATGTAAGTGCCTTAATGTGTTTGGACCCCAGAAAGAGTAGCTGCTGCCTTGGCAGCAGCTAATGGGGATCCCTAATAAATACAAATACAAACAACACTATCAGGTGCTTCTGAGGTTGAATAAGGAATGTAATATAACATATCTGAAGTTCAACTGTACATTCTTCTGCTGGGATAAGTACGGAATTGTACCTTGAGAATCCAGATAACACCTCTCCTTCAAACTGTGGATGAAGTTTATCATCCTGCAGTTCAGGTTAAACAGTTCTGTTTGGTCCTCTTTCAAAGTGAGAAAAGATAAGTATTTTTGTACATGTCCTATAACATCATATTACATTCATATTTTAGCAGATGCTCTTATCCAGAGCGACTAACAGGAGCAATTATGATTAAGTGCCTTGCTCAAGGGCACATCCCCAGGTTTTCACCTAGGGGATTCAAACCAGCGACCTTTCAGTTACTGGCCCAATGCTCTTAACCGCTAGGCTACCTGCCGCCCCACATATGACATACATCACAAAAGTACATCTAATGTTTAAATGTGTTATTCTCAAATGATCTGTTTATAATCTCCAAAGGTTTCATTAGAGGTCAGCTGTTGGCCTCCATAGAGATGAAGGAATTATGCTCAATCAAGTCATGATGATGATGAAATAGCACCTAAGTCTTTCACTTACCTCCAAACTGCACTGTGACAAACATTTCATCTTCTCTATACAAAACGCTTCAGACCAGACCTCTAAAGCCACCTCCCGTAATGTCGCCACAAATAGCTGAAGCACTCGCCTCTTCCATAGAGCCAAAGGAGTAATGAGTTTGGGCTTAGCACACAGTGCCACAATAGTTTTTTTTAAAATCAATGTTGTTGACTACTGTCATACTTAGTGACTAAGCTTCTGCTCTGATGAGGAGGCTATTGTGAATGGCTTCTGCAGTTGCTCTGAGCAAACCAACAGTTGACAGCACATTCCCCCTGGTTGATAACCCCTCTTCTCTCCCCTCCTTTCAAAAGAAGAGAAGACAGAACCTTTTATGTGAGGGAAGTGTTCTTGTTTGTTTCCATGGAGTCAATACACAGACACACAGGTCCTATGGCTTTTACTGCTACAGCACATTTGGAAAGTATTCTGACCCCTTGACTTTTTCCACATTTTATTATGTTACAGCCTTATTCTAAAATTGATTTAATCGTTTTTTTCCTTCATCAATCTACACACAATACTCCATAATGACAAAGCAAAAACAGGTTTTTAGAAATGTTCGCAAATTTATAATTAAAAAAAAACGGAAATATTACATTTACATAAGTATTCAGACCCCCTCAGTACTTTGTTGAAGCACCTTTGGCAGCGATTACAGCCTTGAGTCTTCTTGGGTATGACGCTACAAGCTTGGCACACCTGTATTTGGGGAGCTTCTCCCATTCTTCTCTGCAGATCCTCTCAAGCTCTGTCAGGTTGGATGGGGAGCGTCGCTGCGCAGTTATTTTCAGGTCTCTTCAGAGATGTTCGATCGGGTTCAAGTCCGGGCTCTGGCTGGGCCACTCAAGGACATTCAGAGACTTGTCCCAAAGCCACTCCTGCGTTGTCTTGGCTGTGTGCTTAGGGTCGTTGTCCTGTTGGAAGGTGAACCTTCGCCCCAGTCTGAGGTCCTGAGCACTCTGGAGCAGGTTTTCATCAAGGATCTCTCTGTACTTTGCTCCGTTCATCTTTCTCTCGATCCTGACTAGTCTCCCAGTCCCTGCCGCTGAAAAACATTCCCACAGCATGATGCTGCCACCATCATGCTTCAACGTAGGGATGGTGTCAGGTTTCCTCCAGACGTGCCTTCTGTCTGGCCACTCTACCATAAAGTCCTGATTGGTGGAGTGCTGCAGAGATAGTTGACCTTCTGGAAGGTTCTCCCATCTCCACAGAGGAACTCTGGAGCTCTGTCAGAGTGACCATCGGGTTCTTGGTCACCTCCCTGACAAAGGCCTTTCTCCCCCGATTGCTCAGTTTGGCTTGGGCGGCCAGCTCTAGGAAGAGTCTTGGTGGTTCCAAACGTCTTCCATTTAAGAATGATGGAGGCCACTGTGTTCTTGGGGACCTTCAATGCTGCAGAAGGTTTTTGGTACCCTTCCCCAGATCTGTGCCTCGACACAATCCTGTCTCGGAGCTCTAGAGACAATTCCTTCGACCTTATGGCTTGGTTTTTGCTCTGACATGCACTGTCAACTGTGGGACCTTATATGGACAGGTGTGTGCCTTTCCAAATCATGTCCAATCAATTGAATTTACCACAGGTGGACTCCAATCAAGTTGTAGACACATCTCAAGGATGATCAATGGAAACAGGATGCACCTGAGCTCAATTCTGAGTATCATAGCAAAGGGTCTGAACACTTATGTAAATAAGCTATTTCTAAAAACCTGTTTTCGCTTTGTCATTATGGGGTATTGTGTGTAGATTGATGAGGATTTCTATTGATTTAATCCATTTTAGAATAAGGCTGTAACTTAGCAAAATGTGGAAAAGGGGAAGGGGTCCGAATACTTTCCGAATGCACTGTATTTGTTGAAGACTGAGGTCTGACTTAGCTACTGTGGGGGAGGATTTAGGGGGTTTATTGTCAGCCGACCACTAACTGGGATTGAAAACAAGGCTGTACATGACCCATAGAGACAATGCTACTCTACTAACTAGTGAATTATATTGGCAAGCCAGTTGTTACCATAAGCATCATCACAACAAATCTAAGAGAGAAATTATTTGTATTTTGTTTAGAAACATTAGGATCTGAGCTTTTCCTCTTATTTTACAATACCACACAAGTTATATTGAATACATTCCACACATTCTCTACTTACCACCTTAACAATAACCAGTACAGTAGATCATCTGAGGACCTCAGTCCATTCATGGCATGTCCTGCTGACTTGTATGCCATATCAAATCAAATTGTATTTGTTACATGCTTCGTAAACAACAGGTGTAGACTAACAGTGAAATGCTTAGTTACGGGCCCTTCACAACAATGCAGAGAGAAAAAAAATAGAAATAATAGGAGGAATAAATATACAATGAGTAACGATAACTTGGCTGTATACATGGTGTACCAGTACCGAGTCGATGTGCTGGGGTACGAGGTAATTTGAGGTAGATATGTACATATAGGTAGGGATAAAGTGACTAGGCAACAGAATAGATAATAAACAGTAACAGCAGCGTATGTGATGAGTCAAGAGTGCAAAAAGGGTCATCAGCAGGGTTGATAAGATTAAACCATCAACACTGAACTATCAATCAACTCTTTCCCACTGTATAACCATGAAGAGAATGTGCGTTGTTACTGCTCATATTACACTAGCAATCAGATGAGTCAAGAATACCAGACCATCTAACACTTGATAGATTGTACATGCCAGTGAATGAGGCACTCAGTGAGATAATTACATTAGCCTTGTTCAGTGAGCACCATTCCTCATGGCCAAATGTACAGTAAACCATGTACAGTTTCAGGACCACTGGTCATCACTGAGTCATGAAACTATATCTGTAACATTACCCCCCAGTCACAGGTACAGTATACTGTTGATATAGAGGTTTACACTATAACGTATATGCCATGAGCCAGAAAGCAGGTGCAGAAGGTGAGTTTAATACGGAACAGATACAAACGAACAAACATGGGACGCGTACTGAACGTGAGAGACAACCAATAACACCTAAGGACTGATGACAAATGAGGGCTAAATAAAGGGGGAGTAATCAGGGTATTGATTAAGTCCAATTGTGCCTAATGATGGGGCGCAGGTGTGCGTAATGAGGGTTGCCAGGTGTGCGTAATGATGGGTTGCCAGGATTGGTGGTTAGTAAACCGGCGACGTCGAGTGAGTGAAAGAGGTATTGGCCAGAATGGCCACTTCTAAAAGGGTGAGTTGTGGAAGTCTTATTTAGTCATGTCAGAAAGATTTTTGTTGTGCAGAAAACACCAGTGAACTATGCTGGTAGCATCTTTAAAAAACACTAAAATGTCATTTCAGTAAGCCCCTGGGAGGACATTAAAAGGAGAATGCCATGTGCCCCGTAACCTGGAATCATCAGGGAATTTGGCTAAAAGCTGGGAAAGCTGTAGAAATCAGAGGACCTCCCAGTTTGTAATAGGGGACATAAATCCCATGGCCGTCTGGTCTGGTCTGGTCTGGTCTGGTCTGGTCTGGTCTGCCCCGCCCCGCCCCGCCCCGCCCCCTCCACAGACTGACCAGCCCTCTTATGGAGCTTCACTGCCCTTTGTTCAAAACTCCTCCCTTCTGGGAGCAAAGCCACGGTGAGCCCTGGAGCTTTCTCTGCACTTATTCATTCATGTTTGGGAAAACTGTATAGTAATTGTAATGCGTAAACAGTTCAACATGGAAACGCAAACAGATATACTTAAAAATATATTTATTTTCATACAGGAGGTATTGCTGCATGCATTGCATCCGAAATGTGAGAGCACAGAGAATGCTATAGCTGTGTAACACTTGAGAGAGAGAGTCATTTTGTGAAAAATGTAAGCTGTATGTCATTATTTATTTGTACCATTTAATTGTTTGTGTTATCTGAATGATCTGCACCAGTTTGTGCGACTGACAGACAAATTGAAAGAACTGTAATGTAGACAAAGTACACAGTGGTAGAAGAATAGATCCTCCTCAAAATAGTTGAAAACCATTATCATTGAAAAACACTTAGCTAGGCAGATTTGAGCTTTGTTGCGTTCATACATTTGCAAGATCATAAACCTGAACGTCTAAAGGAAATGTACATCTGTATGGTACACAAACATGCTAAATGAATGCAGCAGTACCGTCCCCATATCACACGCTTGGAATATCCCTGCCATCCCCAAATACACAAGATTAATCCAATTACGTCAATGTTATTTCTTTAGGGCTCACCAGGTGGCAAAGAACAAAAGCCAATTGTGAGGATTCAGATCTAAGCGCCACAGACCAAGAGAATAAACATCATAAACAGAATCACATTGAACCATTCAAGTCACATTTCTGCAATAAATAACTAAAATGATTATTGCTTCAAGAATCTGAAAGGTCCAATTGAAATACAAAATAAATGGTACATATACAGTATGTTATGTATGGCTGCCTTTGTGTAGGTGCTCGGCTCCACTGCTAGAATCCCTGCTGATAGAATGCCTCCAAGCATGTGGCATTAGGCCATCTAGATAACATGAGATACATCCAAACTCTGATCCTCAGCTTGTGAGCCTGCCTGCCCAGTAATCTACCATTATTCCCTGAGCTGACTCCAGAAAAATAAGAGTATCTGGAGTAATTTCACACAAAGGCCAGGTGTTAAGGATCCTTTGTAGCTGTCTGATGCCAATTCTGTATCCATCAGGTCACCCCAGAAAGCTCGGTGAAGCAGGTTTTCTGTTTATAGAACAGTGATTTGACCTGGACAGGGTTGAGATCCTGCCTGTTCTTTACCTCTTCCACCTCCGGTCCTTTAGGAGACTGCTGCTGCTGGTCCCTATACTGCAGGGGATGACATAAGGGGTGTGTCTGTGTCTGTCTGAGAGGCTCTGGCAGAGGGGGGCTCACATTGTGATTGTGGAAACTAATAACGGAAAGAGGGTGGTTGTGAAATAGGCGCTGAGTTCAGAACGGCCCCTGCAGGTGTGACATGGCTATGACAGGGGTAGGAGTTCTCACAGCTACTGATGCTGTGCTCGGTGTGGTCGAAGCTGAGGCCATTGGCCTTAACCCTTACTGAGCCACCGAGGCTGTTGGGGGTGGAGGTGCGGGTGCTGCCGCCACTCTCAAACATCTCCCGGCGGTGGAGGCCAAAGAGGTGGTGGCGGATGATCCTCCTGAAGGTGTGGCGGAACTCCCGGATGCGGTATGCATAGATGAAAGGGTTGACCACCGAGTTGCCGTGGGAGAGGATGATGGCGACGTATATGATCCAGAGGGGTGGGCGGGCACACTGAGGGCAGAACAGGGTGAAGCAGTTGATGATGTGCAGCGGCAGCCAGCAGATGGCAAACAGGCCCACGATGATGGCCAGCGACTTGGCTGCCTGGACCTCCTTCTGCAGGGTGGAGTGGGACTTCCCCCCGTGGACAGCCTTCAATTCTATGAGCTTCAGCTGATGCCGAGCTGCCATGAAGATCCGCAGGTAGATGACCAGCATGAGCAGCAGAGGCATCAGCACACAGGCAAAGAAGTTAAAGTAGACCATGTAGTCCATGACCACCACCTCCTCAAACAGACACTCCATCAGGCCTGGGGGGCAGGTGCTGTTGGGGCGCTCAGTGGATTTATTCCAGCCCAACATTGGGGTCAGGCCGATGATGATGGACAGCACCCAGCAGACAGCAATGATCCCCTTGGCACGCTGGCCAGTCACCAGGCTATTGTACCTGTGGGAACAATAAAGATATGGACACTGTTAGTAAGACACACAATCTAACCCTAAGACCTAAGACACACGTTCAGTTATTTTTTTCTTCCCCCAATTTCGTGATATCCAATTGGTAGTTACAGTCTTGTCCCATCACTGCAACTCCCCTACGGACTCGGGGACTCAGAAGGTCGAGAGCCATGCGTCCTCCAAAACACGACAGCCAGCCGCACCAATGTGTCGGTGGAAACACTGTCCATCTGGCGACCAAAGTCAGGTTGCAGGCGCTCGGCCCACCACAAGGAGTCGCTAGAGTGCGATGGGACAAGGAAATCCCGGCGAGCGCTAACCCGTACGACGCTGTGCCAATTGTGCACCGCCTCATGGGTCTCCCGGTCATGGCCGGCTGTAACACTCGGGAGGCACACATGCTCTGTTGGATTGGGGAGCACGAGTTGTCTCTCTGGAGGGTTAGAGTCCCCCAGAGGTTAAGGGATAGTGAGTTAAAAATAAACATAATAGGCATATCATTCTCACACACTTTTTTTTAATGGGAAAACGTCTCTTTTAAGTAATAAAATAGATACTTAAAAACAAAATGTTAGTATTTGGAAGGGACGTCTATTTCGAGTGTGTCTGTTGGTCAGTGTGGGAGAGCAGCTAAGCTATTTGGCCTATTTCTGTCACATTCTCAAGATGTTAAAGTTCAAAGGTTAGCTGTGAGGGATGCAGGAACACAGACATGCACAAAAGCCCTAAACTCAGAACAACAAACTATCTTGGATGCAATAAGTCTGCACACACTATCCAGAAAGTGTATAAGTAATGACTGATTATTAATTAATTTTAAGGCATAATGTAATTTATATTTGTCTATATAGGAAAATAAATGAGTGGTCTAAACAGCTAATGTTTTTTGACGTGTATAGTTCTGAAGGGGGGTCATGGTCTGTATAAACTCATAGTCAAAGGAGATTCCACTTAACTGGTCCTGGGTGAGCTTGCCTCCTGGGAAGGAGGCTATATATCTGGATCCACTGAGGAAATCAAAAAAGCTAATCTAGCCATTTGGGCTAAAGATTTAAAGTTAATTCAAAAATAGCACGGTCTTCTGCTGCTCTATTCTGAAAATACCTCACACAGGTTTTAGATTTACTTTAGAATTTTTTTGCAATTGCTACTGGCATTAAAACTACACAATGTACAGTGAGGGAAAAAATTATTTGATCCCCTGCTGATTTTGTACGTTTGCCCACTGACAAAGAAATGATCAGTCTATAATTTTAATGGTATGTTTATTTGAACAGTGAGAGACAGAATAACAACAACAAAAATCCAGAAAAACGCATGTCAAAAATGTTATGAATTGATTTGCATTTTAATGAGGGAAATACAGTGAGGGAAAAAAGTATTTGATCCCCTGCTGATTTTGTACGTTTGCCCACTGACAAAGACATGATCAGTCTATCATTTTAATGGTAGGTTTATTTGAACAGTGAGAGACAGAATAACAACAACAAAATCCAGAAAAACACATGTCAAAAATGTTATAAATTGATTTGCATTTTAATGAGGGAAATACGTATTTGACCCCTCTGCAAAACATGACTTAGTACTTGGTGGCAAAACCCTTGTTGGCAATCACAGAGGTCAGACGTTTCTTGTAGTTGGCCACCAGGTTTGCTCACATCTCAGGAGGGATTTTGTTCCACTCCTCTTTGCAGATCTTCTCCAAGTCATTAAGGTTTCGAGGCTGACGTTTGGCAACTCGAACCTTCAGCTCCCTCCACAGATTTTCTATGGGATTAAGGTCTGGAGACTGGCTAGGCCACTCCAGGACCTTAATGTGCTTCTTCTTGAGCCACTCCTTTGTTGCCTTGGCCATGTGTTTTGGGTCATTGTCATGCTGGAATACCCATCCACGACCATTTTCAATGCCATGGCTGAGGGAAGGAGGTTCTCACCCAAGATTTGATGGTACATGGCCCCGTCCATCGTCCCTTTGATGCGGTGAAGTTGTCCTGTCCCCTTAGCAGAAAAACACCCCTAAAGCATAATGTTTCCACCTCCATGTTTGACGGTGGGGATGGTGTTCTTGGGGTCATAGGCAGCATTCCTCCTCCTCCAAACACGGCAAGTTGAGTTGATGCCAAAGAGCTCCATTTTGGTCTCATCTGACCACAACACTTTCACCGAGTTCTCCTCTGAATCATTCAGATGTTCATTGGCAAACTTCAGACGGCCCTGTATATGTGCTTTCTTGAGCAGGGGGACCTTGCAGGCGCTGCAGGATTTCAGTCCTTCACGGCGTAGTGTGTTACCAATTGTTTTCTTGGTGACTATGGTCCCAGCTGCCTTGAGATCATTGACAAGATCCTCCCGTGTAGTTCTGGGCTGATTCCTCACCGTTCTCATGATCATTGCAACTCCACGAGGTGAGATCTTGCATGGAGCCCCAGGCCGAGGGAGATTAACAGTTATTTTGTGTTTCTTCCATTTGCGAATAATCGCACCAACTGTTGTCACCTTCTCACCAAGCTGCTTGGCGATGGTCTTGTAGCCCATTCCAGCCTTGTGTAGGTCTACAATCTTGTCCCTGATATCCCTGGAGAGCTCTCTGGTCTTGGCGGAGAGTTTGGAATCTGATTGATTGATTGCTTCTGTGGACAGGTGTCTTTTATACAGGTAACAAGCTGAGATTAGGAGCACTCCCTTTAAGAGTGTGCTCCTAATCTCAGCTCGTTACCTGTATAAAAGACACCTGGGAGCCAGAAATCTTTCTGATTGAGAGGGGGTCAAATACTTATTTCCCTCAATAAAATGCAAATATATTTATAACATTTTTGAAATGCGTTTTTTCTGCATTTTTTTGTTGTTATTCTGTCTCTCACTGTTCAAATAAACCTGACATTAAAATTATATTTATCTTATCATTTCTTTGTCAGTGGGCAAATGTACAAAATCAGCAGGGGATCAAATACTTTTTTCCCTCACTGTATGCACAAAATGCTTATTTCTCTCAAATGTTGTGCACAAATTTGTTTACATCCCTGTTAGTGAGCATTTCTCCTTTGCCAAGATAATCCATCCACCTGACAGGTGTGGCATATCAAGAAGCTGATTAAACAGCATGATCATTACACAGGTGCACCTTGTGCTGGGGACAATAATAGCCCACTAAAATGTGCAGTTGTCACACAACACAATGCCACAGATGTCTAAAGTTTTGAAGGAGTGTGCAGTTGACATGCTGACTGCAGGAATGTCCACCAGAGCTGTTGCCAGATAATTTTATGTTCATTTCTCTACCATAAGCCACCTCCAACATCGTTTTAGAGAATTTGGCAGTATGTCCAACCTGCCTCACAACCGCAGACCACGTGTATGGCGTTGTGTGGGTGAGCAGTTTGCTGATGTCAACGTTGTGAAAATAGTTTCTTATGGTGGCGGTTGGGTTATGGTATGGGTAGGCATAAGCTACAGACAACGAACACAATTGCATTTTATCTATGACAATTTGAATGCACAGACAGATGCCCATTGTTGTGCCATTCATCCGCCGCCATCACCTCATGTTTCAGCATGATAATGCACGGCCCCATGTTGCAAGGATCTGTACACAATTCCTGGAAGCTGAAAATGTCCCAGTTCTTCCATGGCCTGCATACTCACCAGACATGTCACCCCTTGAGTATGTTTGGGATGCTCTGGGTCGACATGTAAGACAGCATGTTCCAGTTCCCACCAACATCCAGCAACTTCGCACAGCCATTGAAGAGGAGTAGGACAACAGCCTGATCGACTCTATGTGAAAAGCTGCATGAGGCAAATGGTGGTCACACCAGATACTGAGTGGTTTTCTGATCCACACCCCTACTTAAAAAAAAATAACAGATACATATCTGTATTCCCAGCCATTTGACTCCCAGCCAGTGTGCTCCTAATCTCAGCTCGTTACCTGTATAAAAGACACCTGGGAGCCAGAAATCTTTCTGATTGAGAGGGGGTCAAATACTTACAGTGAGGGAAAAAAGTATTTGATCCCCTGCTGATTTTGTACGTTTGCCCACTGACAAAGAAATGATCAGTCTATAATTTTAATGGTAGGTTTATTTGAACAGTGAGAGGCAGAATAACAACAACAAAATCCAGAAAAACGCATGTCAAAAATGTTATAAATTGATTTGCATTTTAATGAGGGAAATAAGTATTTGACCCCCTCTCAATCAGAAAGATTTCTGGCTCCCAGGTGTCTTTTATACAGGTAATGAGCTGAGATTAGGAGCACACTCTTAAAGGGAGTGCTCCTAATCTCAGCTTGTTACCTGTATAAAAGACACCTGTCCACAGAAGCAATCAATCAATCAGATTCCAAACTCTCCACCATGGCCAAGACCAAAGAGCTCTCCAAGGATGTCAGGGACAAGATTGTAGACCTACACAAGGCTGGAATGGGCTACAAGACCATTGCCAAGCAGTTTGGTGAGAAGGTGACAACAGTTGGTGCGATTATTCGCAAATGGAAGAAACACAAAATAACTGTCAATCTCCCTCGGCCTGGGGCTCCATGCAAGATCTCACCTCGTGGAGTTGCAATGATCATGAGAACGGTGAGGAATCAGCCCAGAACTACACGGGAGGATCTTGTCAATGATCTCAAGGCAGCTGGGACCATAGTCACCAAGAAAACAATTGGTAACACACTACGCCGTGAAGGACTGAAATCCTGCAGCGCCTGCAAGGTCCCCCTGCTCAAGAAAGCACATATACAGGGCCGTCTGAAGTTTGCCAATGAACATCTGAATGATTCAGAGGAGAACTCGGTGAAAGTGTTGTGGTCAGATGAGACCAAAATGGAGCTCTTTGGCATCAACTCAACTTGCCGTGTTTGGAGGAGGAGGAATGCTGCCTATGACCCCAAGAACACCATCCCCACCGTCAAACATGGAGGTGGAAACATTATGCTTTAGGGGTGTTTTTCTGCTAAGGGGACAGGACAACTTCACCGCATCAAAGGGACGATGGACAGGGCCATGTACCGTCAAATCTTGGGTGAGAACCTCCTTCCCTCAGCCAGGGCATTGAAAATGGGTCGTGGATGGGTATTCCAGCATCAGTTCTAGGCCCTCTCCTTTTCTCCCTATACACCAAGTCACTTGGCTCTGTCATATCCTCACATGGCCTCTCCTATCATTGCTACGCTGACGATACACAACTAATCTTCTCCTTTCCCCCTTCTGATAACCAGGTGGCGAATCGCATCTCTGCATGTCTGGCCGACATATCAGTATGGATGACGGATCACCACCTCAAGCTGAACCCTGGCAAGACGGAGCTGCTCTTCCTCCCGGGGAAGGACTGCCCGTTCCATGATCTCGCCATCACGGTTGACAACTCCGTTGTGTCCTCCTCCCAGAGTGCGAAGAGCCTTGGCGTGACCCTGGACAACACCCTGTCGTTCTCCGCTAACATCAAGGCGGTGACCCGATCCTGCAGGTTCATGCTCTACAACATTCGGAGAGTACGACCCTGCCTTACACAGGAAGCGGCACAGGTCCTAATCCAGGCACTTGTCATCTCCCGTCTGGATTATTGCAACTCGCTGTTGGCTGGGCTCCCTGCCTGTGCCATTAAACCCCTACAACTCATCCAGAATGCCGCAGCCCGTCTGGTGTTCAACCTTCCCAAGTTCTCTCACGTCACCCCCCTCCTCCGCACACTCCACTGGCTTCCAGTTGAAGCTCGCATCCGTTACAAGACCATGGTGCTTGCCTATGGAGCAGTGAGGGGAACGGCACCTCCGTACCTTCAGGCTCTGATCAGTCCCTACACCCAGGCGAGGGCATTGCGTTCATCCACCTCTGGCCTGCTGGCTCCCCTTCCTCTGCGGAAGCATAGTTCCCGCTCAGCCCAGTCAAAGCTGTTCGCTGCTCTGGCACCCCAATGGTGGAACAAGCTCCCTCACGACGCCAGGACAGCGGAGTCACTCACCACCTTCCGGAGACATTTGAAACCCCACCTCTTTAAGGAACACCTGGGATAGGATAAAGTAATCCTTCTACCCCTCCCCCCCCCCCCCCCCAAAAAAAAAAAAAAGTATAATTGTAAAGTGGTTATCCCACTGGCTATAGGGTGAATGCACCAATTTGTAGTTGCTCTGGATAAGAGCGTCTGCTAAATGATGTAAATGTGCCCTTGAGCAAGGCACTTAACCCTAATTGCTCCTGTAAGTCGCTCTGGATAAGAGTGTCTGCTAAATGACTAAAATGTAAATGTAAATGACAATGACCCAAAACACACGGCCAAGGCAACAAAGGAGTGGCTCAAGAAGAAGCACATTAAGGTCCTGGAGTGGCCTAGCCAGTCTCCAGACCTTAATCCAATAGAAAATCTGTGGAGGTAGCTGAAGGTTCGAGTTGCCAAACGTCAGCCTCGAAACCTTAATGACTTGGAGAAGATCTGCAAAGAGGAGTGGAACAAAATCCCTCCTGAGATGTGTGCAAACCTGGTGGCCAACTACAAGAAACGTCTGACCTCTGTGATTGCCAACAAGGGTTTTGCCACCAAGTACTAAGTCATGTTTTGCAGAGGGGTCAAATACTTATTTCCCTCATTAAAATGCAAATCAATTTATAACATTTTTGACATGCGTTTTTCTGGATTTTGTTGTTGTTATTCTGTCTCTCACTGTTCAAATAAACCTACCATTAAAATGATAGACTGATCATGTCTTTGTCAGTGGGCAAACGTACAAAATCAGCAGGGGATCAAATACTTTTTTCCCTCACTATATGTTAATACAATGTTGAACTGACCTGAGAGGCATCTTGATAGCGATGTAGCGGTCTATGGCGATGGCCAGCAGGCTGAAGATGGAGCTCTGGGTGAGCACCAGCACAAAGCAAGCAATGAAGAGGCATCCATAGAAGTTGGAGCAGAAGCCTGTGCTGATAACGATGGCGAAGGGGATACCCAGCACTCCCACAGCAATGTCTGCCACCGCCAGGGACACCACAAAGAAGTTGGTGATGCTCTGCAGGTTGCTGTTAAGGCAGACGGCCCAGCAGACTAGCACATTGCCCAGCACGGACAGTATGGCTATCAGCAGTTCCAGCACAATGTAGATGACAGAGGCAGCATCGTTCAGCATGGTGAGCGGAGCAGCGATGTCACTGAAGAGGAGGGAGGACCACTCTCCTCAAAGTCCATAGCTGCAGACTGGCAGCGGTGACTGCACCCTGTAGGGCTTAACTCGCTACCTGGGACTATGGCTGAGCTCTCCAAACACAGAGACCACTTCACCTTAAAGCCTCTTAGAAGTCCCACAGTTGGTGGTCAGAGAAGCAGTCCAACCTTTCTGTTATCGTATCTGCTGTCCTGTCTGGTGCTCTCCTCTCAAGTTCCTCCCCTCACTGTTGCATGATTCAGCATGAAACTCCAATGGGGCTGAGACTGAGCCAGGAAGCGGTCACATGAGCGTCATACTGCTGCAGATAAAGGGAAGAAAGAGTGAAATAAAGTGGAAGTGCTAAAGGACGTAATAGGAAATGACTGCATAAAATACCAGTGAATATTACAATGATCCTTTCCATCAAATATTAACCACGTTTGAAGTCAAACAATAAATGACAGTGTTTTATCTGACATGATACACTGGAATGTCCAATGTAGCAAGTAAAATACACTGTAAAGTAACAATTTCATTGTTTACTTTACATTACTGTACTCTATTCCCCATACAACTGGTGGTCATCATCATTCATACTCGATCCGAAACCAACATCAAGATCTGCAATAGTCACCACACTACAGTACCTGGGCAACTGCAGTGATCATGTTAACACATGATAACTGACTTCCCACCAATCCTCCTTAACCCCATTAACAACAGTCACTGAACTGTAAACCAGGGGTCAGCGGAAATATAACCAGTGTCAGAATGACACAATGGTGTTATGGAGCTACTATCCCAGTGAGTTAAATGTCAGCTGTCCCAGAACATTCCCAAGGAATGTTCTATATGTCCCCAGGAGATTGCCAAACCCCTGCCTGATAAGGGGAGAGGAGTCTTGAGGACGTCCAGAGACATATTCACTAAATGAGGTTATAAGAACACCAAATTAATAATTCCGATTTTGTTAGATGGGTGTCGTCATGCTCAAGAAAAAAAACTAAAAACAATTCAAGTAGTGCAGTATGTGATTTGAGAATACAGCAAGCATAATCTACACTTGACAATTGTTTTAAATTAGGTCTAATTTGTCAATCAACTGAGGTCACTGCGTAACACTGAATTTCCCTGGAATTGTATGTGAGAGTGAAGAGGTTTCCAAGCTCCTTCCATACAGAACTCTCATCATGTTTATGGAGGAGAATTCCCATGGTGAAGCCAAGAATGTTTTCAGGAGATAGCAGCTGTGCTGGAACTGAAAGGCCTTTGCTCTCAGAAACATTTCCATTTTGGTGGGACAGAGGTTTTTTTCAGACCGATCTCAGTCACTGTGTAAGTTTCCACACTGTTTTAACTTTATCACACACATACAGTATAAGGTGCAAAAAGAGGCTGTTGCAAATTGTGTCAGTCTTTGACCCCATGTAACCCAACAGTGACAGATCTAATAGTCATAGCCTAGTACTCTGTATGAAAACCTCTTTGACAATGCAAAAAGCCTAATATGGCTACATTTCTATAATGCAGGTGAGAAAATAAGAGGCATAATTATGTTCACCATCACACAGACCTAGTCACAAGTGAAGGTGCAAAGTGGTACCTTTTAATATGGAGGTTACAACTGGATTAGAAGTGATATCTCAATGTGAACGGCATGTGTGACCCTGTCCCAGTCACCTTACAGCAGCTAGGTAATAACAGTGTATTTCAGTTGTCCTCTTTGATAGCACTTGAGGGGTATGAATTGTCCAATAGTCAATCATGTTAAATGCATTCATATTCCATCCTGAAATGTTTCTCAACAGCTGTAGCCAACAAGAGTTCTGACAGTATTCTGCTCAACAGTGGGTCCTGGTGGTTGGATGTAAACCAAGGTGGTGTATTTGGAGTGCTTTGATATCTCAGATGAAAGGTATTGTATGTTTCAGTTTGACACAAATGTAAAGGTATTAAAATAATGTCCATGAAGACAAACCAACTGAACATACAGTGCCTTAACATGTGCACATAAACAGCTTAATGTATAACTGTTTGCCCAGGAAACCAGAGAACAAGAAATCTGACTTCCACTTTATTAGATTACCTGGAGAGGTAAAATCATCGTGGTAAAACCTGCTACATCCTGTTCACATGAGGAAACCTATACCTGGCACACCCATCAACATTATCCTTACCAGAAAGTGACAGTATTATTCCCTAGCTCTCTCGCCTGCCTCCTGAAACTCCCTATCAAAAGAGGGAGTACACCAGAACATACAAGGGAATCTGTGTAAACATAATATCTAGAAATCCATAAAGTAATTCCAAAAACTCCCCAAAATGTACTGTGCAAAATTCTCTCTCAAAAAAAGCTTTGCATAGGCTACTGTTTCCGTATACCTGGCTGAAAATCATTTTGATTGCACCAGGATCAATAACTGTTGTATAAACTTACATTGTCTGAAAACAAAATATTTAATTAGGCTATTCATTAAATGGATTTAAATGAAAGACTCTAAATGCAAATACAAACCCTTGGACTTCTATCTAATGCTATTTTCAATTTCTAAAAAACATACCTTTTTCAATGTCCCTCGACGTGTCTTATTCCAAATTAATTACAACCTAACAGAAATAGTTTGCACCATGTCAATAAACATCGCTCGAATAAAATATATTATAGGCCTAGGTTATAAATCGTGTCAGATTGAACGCGCGTTGTAAAGGATCATAGCTGGGGAACGTAATTTGATAGGCAATTTGTGCGCTCCCACTGTTTGACTACTGATGGTAAAGCCGATTCTCCTCGGTTCAATATCGCACAGGCGGACCAGATTGACACGTGACCACAGCAGCACAACATAGGATAGTGATGCTCGAGTAGACTCAACCCGTACGGGCGGGTTTAGGGTCATGATCAATTGTGTGGATGAAGGTTGAAGAGAAAACGATGCATTTATTTTTATTTTTATAAATGTAGCCTATAATTCTTGTGCAATTCATATCTATAGGCTACATTGAGGGTTTTTTTCCCATAATTTTTTCTTTCATAATGTGACATTAGTGCTAAAGCATAAACGTTAGGGCCTAACTGTTATTAGCGACAAATACATGTCAATAGCCAAATGCTTTTGGGAATTTGGGCAGAAAAAGTTTACATCAATCAACTGAGGCAAAAAGGTCACTCTGAGTTTAATTCAATAAGATTATATATTTTTTCGTTCACAAATGCATGTGTAAGGTGTCCATTTAGGCTATTATTTGAGATTTTCTGTTTCAGAAAAACATTAGGCTACTGTTCAATAGGCCAAAATAGCCTATTCAATAAATATATGATGAAACGTTGAAGAAAAACATAATTGTTAAATAAATGTTTATGAAAAAAGGGAATTGTACAGCTCATGTTCTAAATTTGCAGGTTAAAGGCGCATCATGCTGCATTTACAGTGATATGACCTCTGCAGAAGTCAGTGTATTCATACTTCTTGCGCTAAGCGCAGAGCTGTTGTGAAGGAAGATGTCAACGAAGTGAGTTTGTGTTTACATAGGACCAGCTGCTCCCAACTACCGTCAACCAATCATGTCAATGCAGAGCTATAAGGTGCCCTCAGCATTGTAACAAAACTTGGTGGTTACAACATTTGGGAGGCGAATGTCAATTCGGTATGGAGCTCAATTTGGCCTCTGCGTCCCTCCAGAGGCTCCGCAATTGGTCACGACCTCCATACAGATCAAGCATAAATTGGCTTTTAGGGTAGGGTGCAGGCCTTACATTTACATTTTAGTCATTTAGCAGACGCTCTTATCCAGAGCGACTTACAGTTAGTGAGTGCATACATTTTTCATACTGGCACCCTGTGGGAATCGAACCAACAACCCTGGCGTTGCAAGCGCCGTGCTCTACCAACTGAGCTACATACTTTTGAATCTTGAGTACAGACCGACGTCCCCTGTATACAAACCTTACATATAGGAATTCAAGTTGTAAAATAGTGAACTACTCATTTAATGTAGTGGTAGATGCTATGAAAGGGATGTTTAAAAAAACATAATAGTACCATGGAATGTTGTTGTTCGTTGTACTACGATTGTACATTTTTGTAAGGGCTGTCCTTCACATCCGAGTGCTAATGCTGGCTCTTTGCGTCTCTTGACCATGTCGCGCGGACCAGGCACAAAGCTCAAGGCGCGCTCTCTACTTCCCTCCGGTAGTTATTTAGCAAGCCTGATAACACATCACTCCCGACAGACACAAGCAAAAACTCTAAAATAAATGTAGAAGCCTATACAACTAAACACTAGCGATCTGACCTGCTGTATTGCATGGAAACAGCAGGCTACTAACAACAGCAGCTACATAGTCTAGCCCACTATGGCCCTGTCCCTCTGGCCAGGGTAAACAAAGCGATAATGTTGTGTCTTGTATATAGTATAGGCCATTTGTTTGGGAGAATGTGAATGGGATCAAATTTGGTTTATATATAGACACTAACTATTTAACTTAAAACAGTGTGTTTCATTTAATTATACACAAGAGAAGAAGAGGTTGCCCAGCATAAATTCATGTGCCTTCACTTCATCACATATAGTCTGGCGGTTGCAGATGGGTTAAAGACAATTTATGCTTGATCCGAAATGTGCTTGGAGACTCCATATCAAAGGTAAATGCTGTATGGCCACTGCAGAATTCGGATTTACCATGCATTGCATTTGATTAGCAACTGGGGGTGTGTGCAGCTGACCCACACATCCCTAAAAAAACGTTTTGGCTGATTTGTTGTTCAGAATAAAACACATGGAAGGGAGAGTGTTGTGATTTAGCTTTTCATTACATTTACATTTTAGTCATTTAGCAGATGCTCTTATCCAGAGCGACTTACAGTTAGTGAGTGCATAAATTTTTTAAATTTATTTTTTCACGCCAGGGTTGTGGGTTCGTGGGAAACTCTGCTATACCAACTGAGCTACAGTGGGGGGAAAAAGTATTTAGTCAGCCACCA